CTTTTGAATGTATCCAACAACTGGATACCCGCACTATACTCACAGGGGACGATTTAAAGGACAACTTAATGAGGAGGGAAAATGGTGACAACCAGTGAGACAACTTCCTTTTGTTTTCTTGGGACACCAAACGGTTTTACGGCGGGCGTCAGTTGATATCAGCGGAGACAATCGGGGCTTCACATAGAATCAATCTGGGTTTTCTGGGTTACACACGACGATCGAAAGGAAGAAAAGATCGAAATGGAAGACAAAAAAGTCGAATTTTGTTTTGTTTTTGGGAAAGCGATGGATTTTTTTGGAAAGCGAAAAGAGAAGGAGACTCAGGCGATACTGTACAAAGTTGATAGACTACATAGACGTTGAGACGGAGACATAGAAACCCGCCCACACCTCACTGCAGCCTCACAAAGAGAATGGCGCAGATTTTACTACATCTACATCTGTTCCACCTGCATTCCCAATGACGCAATGCGGCTGACCACCTGGCTTCTCTGACGTGACGGTGTGCTTCAACCCCTATAGATGGATTCCTGTGTTGCTTGCTTGCCAGCTTTTGATACGAGCGTGACGATGGTTCTTCATCCGCACACCGGTACCTTTTCCACTCTTCGTTGCCGATCACGAGATTGGCTAAAGGCACGGGACTTGGTCTGGTTCCCTCGCCTCCACCAACGTCTACGAGACAAGTGAAGCCTCTTGGAGCTCTGTCGTACCCGATCTGGGCCAGGTATTCGGGCAAGCCTACATTTTGCACGTCATTGCGCCGACCTTCAGAAGCCACGGCTGCGAGGCCAAGCATGTCGTTCTCGTTGCAACCGGATCACGCGCATGGATTCCAGACCTCATCATTCATTGACTTGAACGGGGGAAAAAAATAGTTGACCACGCTTGAGGTTCTTCTGCTGTCCCACGCCCCATTCATCAATAGGGGCGAGGAGATGATCGTCTACATGTACAAGTGTCTCCCCCCCCATTTGCCTCTCGTCTTTGGAGGCTCCGACTCGGATTACCTTTTTTTTTTTATACACCTGGCGCCCTCATTCCTGACCCCCCACTCGTCAAATCTCGCCCCGTTTACAACAGGCCCTGCTTCTGCAGATCGTAGTATACCTTCTCTGGCATGACGTTGCCCTCGGCGTCCTCCATCTGCACGACGCTGCCCTCGTCGACCTTGGACTTCTTGGCCTCGCGCTGGATCTTGTCCCACAGGTTGACGGCCTCCTCGATGCTCGTGATGTCGCGGAACAAGCTCGTGTTGTTGATGCCCAGACACCGCAGGCCGTGCACGTGCCTCGCCTCGTTGAAGTGCTTGTCGAACGCCCGCCGGCCCATGTAGACAAAGTTGCCGCAGATCTCGCACGGGAACTCGACACCCAGGCCGTGCAGCCGGTAGAGCCAGAAGGGGATCGGCTTGCCGTCCCACGCGAGCGGCAGCTTGAGGGGGTTGTAGATCTTCTCCTCGCCGTCGTCGCCGTCGTCGTCGTCATCGCCGTCGTCCGCCCCGCCGTGCATGCCCCCGCCGCCGGGCGCCGAGTACGACAGGTTCATGATGTTCTCGAGCTCCTGCTGGCGCTCGCGCTCCGTCATGCCCTGCCGCCGCTCGACGTTGACGCGCGTGTCGCCGCGCTCCGTGCTCATGGCCGCCGCGAGCCGCTTGACGCGGTACTCGCGCTCGGCGACCGCCCTCTCCTTGAGCCTCGTGGCCGACACTTTGTTGCCGTCGGTGCTGCCGTTGGTCCCGTCCCCGCCCTCCTCGTCGCGGCGCGCTTTCCTCGCCTCGGCGGCCTTGATGTGCTTGCGGCCCGTCAGGTGGGACCGGTAGACGTTTTCGTTCTTGAACTCCTTCTCGCAGTCGTCGCACCAGACGGCGTCCGCCGTGCTGGGCTCCCGCGCCGTGCCGTTTGTGCCCTCCTCCTTCTGCCACCCCGGCACCTCGTCCTTTTCCCACGCCGTCTCGAAGTCGTTGTCGAAGCCCAGAAACACCTTGTCGAGGTTCTCGAGCGGCCGCGTCCGCCGCATGAAGGACTCGAGGTACTCGGCCAGCTCGCCGACGTACTTGAAGTACTGGTCTGTCAGCTTTTCGCCGCGCTTCAGGCCGCCCTGGCCCGGGCTGAAGTTGTCAAACACCTCGAGGTACTGCAGGTACGACAGGCGCTTGACGTTGGGCAGGTTGAGGTACGACTCGTGGCAGGTGTGCAGGTCGAAGAAGCGGCCGAACCCTTCCTCGCCCGTGAAGAGGCGGTCGACGATGTAGGGCATGATCTCGCCGTCGTCGGGCTTCTTGACGCGGTACCGCACCTCCGAGTTCTCGGCCTGCTCGTTGGGGTATTTGGCATGGTGCTCGCGCGCATCCTTGAGCTGGCTGTAGAACTCCTCAAACGGGTCGCCCGTGCCAATGCTCTGGATCTCACGCGACCGCTGGCCGTCGGCATCGCGGTAGATATCGAGGAGCTTGACGGACTGCGCCTGGATCTGGTCGAGCAGCTGGCCGATCTCGTGGTCACGGTTGAGGCGGTCGCGGATGTGTTTCGGTTCCTCGCTGATGCGGTCGGCGATGCCCTGCTCGAGGCGCTCGAGGTCCTCGTGGAGGTAGCGCTGCTCTTCGATTACGCCCATTGTCGCGCGCGTAGGGGAGTGTAACCGGGCTAGCTGTTTGTGTGTGTTTGTCTGGGGGAGTTCGTGGGGAGGGTTGACGATGGTGGTCGTCGCAAGGCTACGGGGAAAATTCGAGGTCGGCAGCCTTCTGGGCGAGCGCGACTGCTGAGTGGCCCACTGAATAAGGTCGCTTTAGCTCTGGTTCTGGCGATTGCAAAGCTGCTGTCGAGCGCTGTGGAAACCGCCCTGTGGCAAACTCGGCGCTGATTTCCACCACCCGGCTTCTTGGATCTTCCGCGCCGGTCCTGCTGGGCTCTTCCATTGAGGCAAGGTCACTGCTCTGGAAAGCCGCCGCGCCCATTGAAGCTTCAGCGCGCCCCTCTAAAAATTCGCCTTTGCCTGCCTGCGTCGACTGCCCGCAACACCATCAAACACCATCGCGAACCCCGTTTCTACAAACACCACTACACACCACCCCGGCTCAATACACAACCATCATCATGGCGGAAGGCAGCGGAATCGACCGTAAGGCCGAGGAGAGGATGGAGTTTTCCACCTCCAAGGAAGTCACCGTCCACCCGACCTTCGAGTCGATGTCTCTCAAGGGTAAGGCTGCCGAACACCACTCACCCCTCTGCCCGTTGCCATTGGATAATCGCATGCTGACTTGCGTGTCGCAGAGAACCTCCTCCGTGGCATCTATGCTTACGGCTACGAGTCTCCCTCGGCCGTTCAGTCCCGCGCCATCGTCCAGGTCTGCAAGGGCCGCGACACCATCGCCCAGGCCCAGTCCGGTACGGGTAAGACGGCGACCTTCTCGATCAGCATGCTCCAGGTCATCGACACGGCGGTGCGCGAGACCCAGGCTCTCGTCCTCTCCCCGACCCGCGAACTCGCGACCCAGATCCAGTCCGTCGTCATGGCCCTCGGCGACTACATGAACGTCCAGTGCCATGCCTGCATCGGCGGCACCAACGTCGGCGAGGACATCCGTAAGCTCGACTACGGCCAGCACATCGTCTCCGGCACCCCGGGACGCGTCGCCGATATGATCCGCCGCCGCCACCTGCGCACGCGCCACATCAAGATGCTCGTCCTTGACGAGGCCGACGAGCTCCTCAACCGCGGCTTCCGCGAGCAGATCTACGACGTCTACCGTTACCTGCCCCCCGCGACGCAGGTTGTCGTCGTCAGCGCCACGCTGCCGTACGACGTGCTGGACATGACGACCAAGTTCATGACCGACCCCGTGCGTATCCTTGTCAAGCGTGACGAGCTGACGCTCGAGGGACTCAAGCAATACTTCATTGCCGTCGAGAAGGAGGACTGGAAGTTCGACACCCTGTGCGATCTCTACGACACCCTGACCATCACGCAGGCCGTCATCTTCTGCAACACCCGTAGGAAGGTCGATTGGTTGACGGACAAGATGCGCGAGGCCAACTTTACCGTCAGCAGCATGCACGGCGACATGCCGCAGAAGGAGCGCGACAGCATTATGCAAGACTTCCGCCAGGGCAACAGCCGTGTGCTCATCTCGACTGACGTGTGGGCGCGCGGTATCGATGTCCAGCAGGTCAGTTTGGTCATCAATTACGATCTGCCGAGCAACCGTGAGAACTACATCCACCGCATCGGCCGAAGTGGTCGCTTTGGACGCAAGGGTGTTGCCATCAACTTCGTTACCAGCGAGGACGTGCGCATTCTGCGCGACATTGAGTGTGAGTATCGTCCGAACCCATTGGGCAGATGATGGAGCTGACTCGGACTGCAGTGTACTACTCGACCCAGATCGATGAGATGCCCATGAACGTGGCTGATCTCATCTCTTAAACTTGTGGCCGAAATGGAACCAACATGTTTGAAACCCCGCATCACCAGATGGCGGGCGTTATGATATAAAGGCAGACGAGAAGGTCGTCGAGCCATGAGACAGTGGAGGAAGGGGGCTCTGTTTGGAAGCAGGTGAGCACAATACGACCTGTCTTATCGAAAGATTCCACGTTGCTGACCCCTTGAAAAGGACCAAATTCAGATTGTCACAAAAAAAAGAAGAACCCTCTGGGTAACCGGCGAGCGTTAAAACAAGCAACTGGATCGTTGGCTTTTTGGGAAAACGTCATTATTCGTAGCACTATGAACAGGCGCGCTCTGCACTGAACGGGTATACAACCGCATGATACCACCCTAAGCACCTTTTGCTACTCCAACGCCGTGTGTGACTAACTTCATGTTCCTGGTGATCCAGAGCCCAGTGGCTCGTTGCTGTGCCGCGTTGTCAACGCTATCAGCTGTCAGCTGTGTGTGCGTGCGCGTGCGCCTGCTTGTTGTATATGCTCGCTATCAAAAAAAAACAGAAAAGAATCCCCCAGTAAACGCCCCTTAGTTGTTGTACATGTGCGTCATGAGATTCGATTCTCGGAAACCGAAGTGCTGAGCCGGTCGACGGACTGGTAGCTCATCGCGCGCCGCAGCGTCGAGCCGCGGGTCTTTACGCCCTGCGGCATCTGCAGCCTCGACTTGCGCACCAGCATCGACGGCCACCGCAGCGGCGCGCCGGCGTCGACCTCGGCCAGGCGGAACTCCCCGTCCCGGCCGCCCTTGGTATCCGCCGACGGCCTCATGGACGTCAGGACGTCGGCGTCCTCGGGCGTCGGCAGCGCGAGCTTCATGTCGTCTATGCTCGCAAAGGTGTCCCGCTGCACCCGCGGGCGGTTCGGCTTGGTGCCGATGGTGAGGGGCCGCTGGTAGTGGGCCTCGGCGTCGGCGGTGGAGAAGTTCTTTTCCCATTCGTCGCGGGTGGCGGCGAAGGTAGTGGAGGAGGAGCCGCTGCCGGTGACGGATGTGGCCAAGGCGGGGAAGAGGCGGGTGAGGAGGGGTTTCAGCGTCGTGAGGCAGGCCGTGACGATGGCGGCGTGGACCTCGACGTTGGTGAGGTTGGCGATGCGGACGTTGGACCAGGTCACGTCTAGTATTTGTTCGAGGGACTCGTCTGTATGGAAGAGACGGACGAGGCGGAGGATGGAGATGGCGCAGACGCTTGGGGCGGTGGTGTTAGTGTTGCTGTTCGGTACGGAGGGGGGCATGGGGGCATGGACGACTTACAGGAACGCGAGGCAGAAGACAAAGTACAACCCCATCTTCTGCCGGCGTGGGAGGCGCATTGTCGCGATGACGGGCAACGGCAGGAGGAAGATCAAGAAATCGCTAATCAGATGCATGACGGCGTTGCCCCAGAAGACGGAGATGGGGTGGCAGTAGGCGGGCGGGGCGGAGGGGTCGTAGTTCCAGGCGGCGCTGAGGGGGATGCAGGTCGTGAGGATGCTGATGATGATCCAGGTGTGGGAAACGAGCACGACGCCTAGCAGGATCTTGCCGAGGAGGCGGAAGAGGTCGTAGGTGAGGATGCGGATGTAGAGGAGCAGGATGGAGATCTTTGTCAGGGTGAGGCTGATGGAGTAGAAGAGGTTTGTAAAGATCCCCGCCTCGACGTAGGAGGAGTACGAGGGCCAAGCGTAGGAGAGGTGTTCGCCGAGGCCGAACTTGAGTTCTGTGGGCATCGTCAATGATCCAGAATTTCTCACATGGCAAAGTCCGGGAAATATTAAAAATTGAGGGGGGGGGGGGGGGGGGGGGGGGGGGGGGGGGGGGCATCGGGAGCAGAACGTACGTGTCACCATGCCCGCGCTCGTGGCGATGGCGAACAGCAGAGACGCGAGGATGGTCCAGTCATCCCACTCGATGGAGCGGAGGATGCGGGCGCGGGTGTAGAAGCGCATGCAGACGAAGGCGGTCGCGACGATGGCGGAGATGACGGCAACGGGCACGACGGAGGCGCCGTTCCACTCGTTCGGGTCGTCTGGCGGGGAGAGAAGGCTGAGCCACGGCGGGGCTGTGATATTTGTCGTCGCCGTGGCCGCGGCGTCGGGGACAACAGAGCGGAGGGCGAGGAGCGGGGCAGCGCCGGTGCCGATGCTGAGGCGCGGCGGCGGCATTTTGGTCATGTTAGAGGTGTCGGTCAGGGGAAGTGCTGTCATGAGGCCATTGTTTGGTTGGGGGTTCTGTCTCGAAGCTGGTTTTCTTCTTCTTCTTCGAGGATTGGCGATGATGTTTGACCGCCTTGGTTGAGGTAGTGAGGTCCGTTATTGACTTGGGCTGTTGATTGTGTATTCGAGATGTGTACTGTGTTCCGTACGCCACCAGTGGCTCGCACTCGAAGGGACTCGTTGACCTAGACGAGGCCGAGCTCGACGTACTATTCCTGTCGAACGTCGAAGGAGTGAAGACGCCCCCAAAAGATTCAGACGACGAGAGAGAAAAGGAAGCACCCAGGAGGCGTCGAAGCCGGTTGGCGGGTCACTCGCCCTTATACCAACGGGGCTTCTGGAACGGGTGCAACGATGCGGCCCCTGCTAGTCGAGGATAATCAGAAAGAGAAATGGCCGCGATGTGGACGCGCACGACGGGTCAGGGGCAACGACAGGGGGGTGGATGGAGACGATCTGTGACAGACACATGAACCCCTGTCGTTTCTCTAGTGGTCTCTGCGGTCTTGCAGACCACTGCGTAGCAGTGCCCCAGACTTTCGGGTGATGATCCCGTTGGATGGGCGGCCTTGAAAATGTACCCGCAGCCGGAAAGCGGTGACAACGGGATAAAGGAGCGGGAGTGTTGTGTGGTCGAATCAGCGGAGCCCAGGCCTGGGTTAATATTGGGTAGGGGTCGAGGAGGAACAAGAGGAGGAACAAGAGGAGGAGGCCGGGACAATGTGCCGCTCCCGTTACATCTTTGTGGTTCGTGGTGCCCTCCCCGGGCCGTGGTGAAGCGGTTTGGTTTGGGAGCGCGAATCGGTGCGGTGGATTTCAATGCTACAGGGCGAATGCGTTTCTCAATACCGATCTTGAAGCGTTGTTATATTGCAGAGTTGGAATGGCAGAACGAAATACGTGCCCGGATGCACGGTTCCGTTGATGATACTCCCATAACCAACAAGGGGCGTCGTACGAACAACAGCTCCATCAGAAAACGCGAAGCATTCTCTCTAACAGTCCGACTTGCACGGATCTGGTCGTGCTCCCCCTGACGCCAGCTCTGTTCTCCTCCACCGCGGAGGATTGGCCCTTGGGAGACATACAAACACAGCAGCCATTGTTTCCTCCGCTGAGTCACCCATGCAGTCGGGAGATCAACAGAGTTGAGCAGGCATGAGGCGGTTAGAACGGCTGGGAAGAGCCTCCCTCGGGTTATCTCTCAACGTCGGTCGGAGAATATCTTGGTGCATGTGTACGGTGTACGGTGTAACGATAGGCGGTAGGTATGCCAGGCCTTGAGGGTGACGACGGGCCTCCCTTGATGAGGGCGTTTCAGCTCTAGCTCGGTCGTTTGCCAAGGACCCGATGGGTTGGAGCCGCGACTCTGGGAAAACAAAAGGGTGTAGAGTCGTCGGTTCGGGGGAAGATGCCGGAGCAGGCCTCGCCTATCCGGCCGTCTCGCGTTCCTCGCATCTGGCCGGCCCTGTTTACTTTAGAGTTTCTGCATAGACGCGCTCTGGCATAGGTCGAGTCGACTCGAGGCGGGTGTTCACGTCCATACCGGTACCACGGCAACATCACGGAGGGTGAGTGGGCGCAAGAGACCGAACGAGTGAGAGGTCAGTTTGAGATACAGTCGAGTTTACCCGATGCGGAAGAGGTGCCCAGCGAGACACAGTGCGCCGGTGCAGGGGTCACCACCCCCTTATTGTGGCTGACCCGGGACGGCTATGGCTAGAGTCGCCCCTGAAGCTAAGCGACTGACGCGGCTCCGTGTGGGTTGTAAGTTTGCTGCCGCAGCTGTCGCCCGAGGATTCTGGCCGGAAGCCGTGCAGCGGGCCGTGAAGACTTGCCTTTGCTGGCACTGCTGTGACGCGCTGTGAACTTGCTGTCGTCTCATTTGGCATGGAGCGAGTAGGAAGAGTCCTGGGGAGTTGTCCATCTCCATCGGTCAACCACCCCTTTCATCCCAACTGCACCAGGTATGAGCAGCACACGCGCAGCCGTGTCTGTTTCGCTTCGGCTTGTCCTCCAACAAACGAACCCTCCGGTCTAGTGCTCAAAATCCACGTCTGAACCAAGCTTCTCAGCTCCTATTTGACCAACATGTCGGCTCGAATTCCCGATCCATGACAACACTGTACTCGGCGCTGCCTCATCAACCCCTCTCAAAGGTTCAAACTTCGCCGCTAGCGCTCAAAAATCGTGTTATCCGAAGCATCTAGAGACCCCCCCCAAAACTCTCGTGGCTTCTGGCTCGGTCAGCTTCAGTCACCCGGGCTTACGATGGAGTCGCTTGGCGGTCACCGATACGACCCATGTTCGGCTGTCGGGTGTTGAACAGGGCACAGGGAGCCCAACGCACCCGAGCTCCAGACCGGACCTCATACGACAGCTGCCGGAAGCTGATGAGCTGCTTGTATGCCACTATCGTCGGTTTCTATTCCTCCTGCCAACTGCGGTATTTTGACGACTCACTCGCTACGGAACACTGATTCAACGGGACAATGAGAAACGAGAGCGTTTCGGTGTGGCCACATCCTCCTGGGCCATTAATTCATCTGCCTCCGACAGGAAGGAACCGGATTACAGAGTGTCTCAAGTAACGGCACCGGGTAGTTCAGCACAAACCGTTCCAGCGTCTCACTGTCGCAGAAAGGACGGAGTCTGCATCATGTCAAGACTCCAACGTCCCTCCTTGCTCTTCCCAAAGTCTCAAACCTCGCTGCTAATTCATGGCTGAAGGGTGTATCCATCACGGCCATTTTCTCTGCATGCGTAGAGGCAGGTTGCCCGACTCTCTGCAAGCAAACAAGCAGGCAAACAAGCAAATGGTTGTGACGAACATCCACTCGATCTTTAGGGATTGGGGGTCGACGAAAGCGAACGTGCTCTGTTTTGACCTGGCTGTTGCGACTGCCATGACAATGGCTATAAACTCTAACGGGGGCCGGTCGAAAAGCGGAACATCGGCTGGCTTACGACCTCATCTGATCTTTCTCCCAAACTGTATTCTAGATTCCGCTCGAAATAGACGGAAAAGAAGAGAAAGAAAGAGTGCTCAGTAGGCAACCTAGAAGACCAGAGCGCGAGCCATAGACCGTGTGTTGGCCAAGGTCCAGTACGCGCGCTACTTCATCCAGAGAACAGCCCTAGGTTGAAAAGCAGAGGTTTCCGCCCGGTCTGACTGAAATCGCACCCGAGGCCCCGTGAACCTCGCACGATCTGCATTCCGCTTTGTACAGCTGTCTCAACTCGAGTCCGACTTTAGGCTGGCAATGGCCTCTGCACGCAAGGCCTCCCGCCTACTCAGGCTCTGGGGATCAAAGTACGGCCTCTCTCCAAGACTCACGGAACGCGACCCCTTCCTCTCTCCTAAGCCCTCCGTCAGATAATCCGGCGTCGCGGCGTGGTACACCGAGCGGTTGTCCCAGATTGCCACGTCGTTCTCGTTCTGCCAGCGGTTTCGCACCTGCAGGTCGTGGTTCTCCACGATCAGCTGCACGAACCAGTCGAGGAAGTGCCTCGACTCCCCTTCCGACAGACCGTTGATCTTGGCCACGTGCTGGCCCGTGGCGAAGACGCTCTTCCACCCGGTTACTGGGTTGGTGCGGATGACCGGATGGACGGCCTCGAGGAGCTCACCGACGTTCTCCGGGGCGCCGCGGGGGTCGGTGTAGAGCTTGAAGCCGTTACTCTCCGCTGTTGCGTTGAAGCCTGGCTGGGCGTATGTCGCAGTCAGGGTGTCGAGGAACTTTTGAAGTGGCTTCGATATCCGGTCGTATACCTCGTAGCCCGAGGCCCAGAGCGTGTCTAAAAGGATGTCAACGGAGTGAGAGAATGCAAAAGTGGAGGGAACCGACCTCCTCCAGTCTTTGGCAGCTGTGTCAGGCGCAGCAGAGCGTAGTCGCTCGGCACTGGCTCAAAGGTGATATCCGAGTGCCACTGCGTCTTTTGCGTCTGTTTCTTGTTGTAGTTCAGGAAGCGGTGCAGATTCAGCTTTTTCGCCTGCGCCGACGAGATGACACTGATCTCGTCGTCCGTGGTGTCGCCTCTTCCAGAGTTGTTGACAGGGTGGATGTGGAGCTTCGAAGTCGACGGCTTCCCCGAAAGCTCGCCGAGGCGCTGGACGAGTTCCTTCTGCAGGTCGTTGTCGATATTATCCTGCTTGCGGAAAAATACAACGCCACGCTGCGAGACTAAGCATGTCGTCAGTCATGTATACTTCCCCAGTGGAGAATGGGCTTACTGGTGATTGCTAGGTCGCGAAGCAGGTCGTCAGAGTTTGGGGCCCTGAGGAGCTCTTTCAGATCGACGGTCGGGTATTCGCGGCCGATGACGGGCGTCACGTCGAAGTGCTCGTACTGGTCTAGAACACCGGTCGGCTTGAGTGGCTCTCTGTGGCCTGTCAGGAGCTCGGGGAGCGCCTCATCTTGAGACGTAAAGTCAGAATCAGGTTGCGATTCCTTCGTGGGAAGGATCTTCGCCTTGATATCCTCGACCTTGGCTGCTGCGGCCTCTGTTGCTGATGGAGACATTGTTGAATTACTCTCACTATGAACGCTGCTTCACGTATAATGAGGATGGTTGCATGAAACCTCGACAGAGGACCTCAGCTGTATCTTATACACGCCCTTGTTACGACTACACACCACTCCAGACACCGAGACCCGGGCCGTTGAGGCGAAAGCTTGCGCGATGTCACGCGATTTACGACTCATATCCTACAATAGAGAAGCGCTAGATCTGCGGATTAACTGTTGGGAGAGCACAGGTGGTAGACATTGGGCCAAACAATTTCTCGCCGGTACTCGGCAGCACCTGCGGACGCCGAATCGGAACCGTGTGCGCGGACGCTCCACCCCCATCTCGATGGATAGTTTGTCTTGGCTGGAGTATCGATATGCGAGTGCGGCCAATGAGACCTGGATGCTTGATGGAAACATCAGGCTGCCTTGTAGAGAATAGATGGGATGCAGTGTTGTGGCATTAGCGGTGATGCAATTTTGGTATCGATCGCGAGCGAAGAGGGGATGACCCCGCGCCGGCGGACCAATCCGAACAAGGGGATATCGCATCGCATCCTTGGGGATAACCTTCGGACGAAATCAATCACGAAGTGAACATGTGCTTACGAGGTGCTATGACCAATTATTGTCGTCCACGCGGGGGTCGACGTGTTGAAACCCATGAATCTTGGGAAGCTGCAACATTGGTGTGGAAGGCTTTGAGGTGCGTTGCAGACGCCGGCTTAAAGACATGGAGGCACAGCTGATCATTAACATCACCACCAACGTTAGCACGAATATCTTAGGGGCACTCTACAGAGGACACGAGTCGAGAAGCCATGTCTCCCTCGGGCTACGCCGTCCCTCTCTGTGGAGTTTAGCTGCTGCCGCCACGACGCCCTGCTGGCTGGGTTGCCCTATCGAATCATCAAACTGCAAGTTCCGAGACTGTTTATCAGAGAGTCCGTTGATGCCAGTCCATGTAGCTTTCGCCAGCGACGAAAGAGTTGATGTACATACAAATTCGGAAGGGACGACGGGACACCCGGTCGGCGGCTGCCGGAGCCGATCACCGAGCGGGTCACCGAGCTCCGCCGTCGCCGGCTTCTGACAGCTGGGGCCCGCGATTGATACAACGATGGTTCATTTGTGCGAGTAGAATAGCTTGCAGAAGCTTGATTTCTTAGGTGCGGTTGTGTTCAAATAAGGTCAGGGCTGGAAAGAGGCGTGATGCAGCACGATCTGGACGGTAGGAAACAACCAGCAATAGGACGGCCCATGGTCCAAACATATTGCAATCAGCTTAGATAACAGTTTTCCATGACCACAGAAAGTGATAAACTGAATTGATTGCGGGTTTGAAATGACGGAAATGGGGAAATCGGACAGGATTTGTTTTCGCCTTGTCATCGAGTGAACAAGCGTCGATCCACGGCCGCCCGCCCACCGACGTCATCGAACGGTCACTGATATCATTGGAGCTTTCGCATGAACGACCTGTGCAACCCGGACACTCATGTCGAGAACATCTCATTCATTGCACGCAGTAAAAGTCTCAAAGCAGCCGATACTTCAGCCGCATTATTAGTTCCACATATCTCATCAACATTGTAAACCGCCAACCACTAAATATGTCGTCCTCGATGCCCTCTCAGCCCCCCAAGGCGGAAGCCTACACCACGGCCTCGAACCCGGCAACCCGCAACCCCGTCGAGAACGCCGCCGCCTCCCATACTCAGCAGAACGAGACCACTGCGCGCGACGCGGCGCTAGGCCGCACGCCCTTCCCGCAGTCGCAGACCCGGTCCACCGACGACGCGGTGCCGAGCGCGTTGGGCGCCGGAGTGCACTCCTCGGGTCCTGTGGACGCGACGGAGCGCGAGAACACGGCATACGTTTCTGAAAGTGAGTCTCGCAAGGGACTGGAGAACCCCAACGTCGAGGCGGAGCAGATGGAGACGCTGGCCGAAGGCAAAGTCGCGGACGCTGTCGAGAGGAAGAGCGGAACGCAGAAAGTGCCCGGGCAGGAGGTTCGGATCGATGATTTTAGCAGCGGGCTTGAGAAGTAAGTGTTTTGTTTTTGTTTTTTTGGGACTGAGACTAAAGCCCGATGTATGAGTGAATTTGATGATAACAGTGAGACAGGAAGAAGCAGGAGCAACAAGAGGCGAGAGACGCGATCAAGGAGGAACGCCGCGCGGGCGTTGATGTTGACGGGGGCATTGGGCAGCGGTCATGGAGGGAGGATAACCGCGATGTCTGAGTCGAGAAGTGATCCTGTTAACTGCTTGTCTTCGCGTGTAATGTGGCTGGTGAATTGTATTTCAAGCAGCGAAAGATTGAGCTCAGAATGCCTCAGTCCTGCGAGGGTCACAAACTGTCACTCTCGCCTAATCGACGGGCGCTTAGTCTTGTTCCTCGAAGGGTAAATCGACATGGCCAAATGTTTGCGAGAAAGGATAAAAATAATCAATAACTACCTTTCGCAACGCCACATAACTTGAGAGATGAACAAAAACCACTCATACACACCACGCTAAATGCAAAAAGAGAAATTCTCCCCTTCCAGAATCGAACTAGAGACCTTTCGATGACAATGTAACCATTACAGTCGAACGTGATGAACCAACTACACCAAGGGGAGAAATCGAGGCTAAGCCTCGCTCGGTGTGGCAACATGTCTCGTGCAGGTGGCTCAAGAACCTATCGGAAACATCCAGTTCCCACAGCTTGATTTTGTGCCCGATCATGACCCAGTTGCTGTTGAACATTTGATCCAGGTAGACTCCAGCTCGCCCCGGCTTTACTGTGTCATTGTGGGGCTTGATGGAGACAAGTGACAATCCACTTAGGGTTTGATAGTGTGTCTCGTTGTCGTGGCTTTGCTGTGCTGACTTCTCCGCTCGCGTGAGGGCGCGCATGGCGGGGATTCTCAGTATCACTTTCGGCCGTCGTGAGCATCCGATTGCGGCATCACTTGTCACAACACTACACCGGGCGATTGGCTCAGTGGTAGAGCGCCCGCTTTGCATTGTCTCTGATGTCTGCGGGAGGCCCAGGGTTCAATCCCCTGATCGTCCAGTCTCAATCCTACATCGTGAGGTTGATAATATTTTAACTTTTGTATGTTCGTGGCTGAAGATGATAATTCGACTGCCCCGCTGCACTCATGCTTGCTAGGCCATCCCTGCGAAATCCATTTCGACTGATTGTCACTATTCGACGGTCTCCCTAACAAACCTAACACAACAAACACACCGCTCTCAAACGACCCCGAAAGACAAAGAGAATGCCCACATCGAGTACCAAACTATTTCGCTACCATTTCCTATGGGAATGTATCCTGCAACCATCGTAACACGTCCATTCCAAATTCTCTGGGCCTCTCAAGAAAAGCCCAGTGCCCACCGGCCCGAGTGAGACTTTTCACGTTGGGTGGTATGCCAGAAGCGATGCTTTGCTGCCATAACTCTGGTCTGCACACGTAGTCTCGTGTGCCGCCCCAATACAACACAGAGACTTTCACCGTCTTGGCCTCCTCGGTTAACTTTCTGTCCGACTCAGTCTGAGCAGCCGTGCTGGTGGCCGTATACACACACCTCGGCGCCGCAAACCCGCCGTCCTTGCTGAAGCGCTCCATGGAGTCCGCCTTGTGCTCAGAGGTCGCGAACGGCTGCGTCGGCTGCGTACGGCCCTCACTGACAAAGCGACGCATGCCGCCCAGGGTGACAACGGTCTCGTACCAGATTTCGGGTTTGCCGAAAACAGCGGCGTAGACGGACTCAAGGTTCTGATTCATGATTTCGAAGGCGTCGTCAGCCGTGAAGAAGTGCCAATATTCGTGAATGCCTCGACCGAACATCTTTTTGGTCTTTTCATTGATCTTGTCGAGGTCGAATTGATCCGTGCGTACCGTGTAGGCGACATTGAGCATGACGACGAGACCACACACGCGGTTGGGGTGGAAGTTGTACAGCCGCTGGGCGATCATGCAGCCCCAATCGTGACCAAGCGATATCGCCTTGTTGATGCCTTCTGCGTCGAGGATTTTAATAGCGTCGGCTGCGATACCATCGCATGCGTATATCTTTGTGTCGGTGGGCTTGGAAGACTCGCCGAATCCGAGGTTATCTACAGCAGTAATGCCGTAACCCTGAGATAGAGGTGGTCATTGATGAGGCCGACCCAGAGATGAGCGGTGTCGGGCCATCTGTGGAAAAGGATGAGAGTTAGCTTAGACTTTTGGGCCGGCGATGTGTAGTATGTATAAGTGGAGCCGCGGAAGACGTCGATCGTCTTCTTGGTGAGTTCTGAGAGGTCCATGATTGCGACTCCGGGTGATGTGCTCGAATTCCGTGAGTGTAGGGTTACCAAGAAGAGAGATCCTTATGTTTTTGTAAGTATGCGAGCAACTCGAACTTACTGGCAGTCAAAGAGGGCGAACTATTCGTCGAGACCAAAGCACGATTTCGCTGCAGGTTTCGGCTAATTGTTAACGGCATGAACTAGCTGGTGAGCCTGCATATTGAATGTACCGTATTTCAGTCCAAAGTTGAGTAATGGCTGGAGATATCCCCAACGGATTAAGTTTCCATCGTTGGGGCGCGTGCTGTAACATTATGGGCAATATCTACGGCCAGCCTATGTAGCTCACAATGAAGGCACGTCCCCATCCCAATGACATAGACTGAGGGATGCACAGCCACGAGATATGAGCTAAAAGCTTACGTTGGACCGAACTTCTCGAACATAGAGGCAGTTGGCTGCCTAGGAGATGCGTGTGGTCGCACTGGAGACTTGTTTGATTGTTTGAAACTATACTGCAAACTACAATCTATCCGACTATGTTTTTCATCAGACCCTTCTAAGGGGACAGCACGGAATTTACCTACTTTGATAGCCCTTCTCTGCAGCGAAACCAATACGATGGCCTTGGACAAAGGCTAATTGAAGAGGTCGATTTAAGTGCGAATATGAGTGTCAGGAACAGATACTCGGGCGATGACTTCCGACAAGCAAGTAAATCTTTGCTCTTTTCCATCAGCACGCTAACAGAAATCGCTATCATGTTCTAAATTTCTGTCTGTGCTAAACATGTTGCTTGACTTGGTGTTCTTAAGACTCAAGCAAAGCAAGAGCCTTCATCCGATCTGTGATTGGTACCACGTATGACTGCCATAGCTAGCTAGAAACATATGTGCGCAATATTATATGGAAAGAACTACTTCCAAGGTCTTTCAGACTGGTTGATTGAGTTGATGTCTTTACCAAAGCTTCAAACTTTATGATAAGGCTGTGTTACATCAAGTCCAACCGCAGACAGCAAGACCACATAGCCTTCAATTTGGTTGGATTATCGATATACCGGCCTCATATCATCTCCATTAGCCTGTATTTCTTTCTCATTCGTTGGGACTCGTTGGCTAGTTGGCGTTCGCAAGTCCTCCTTCCAGCTGCTTAGATCATTTGCACATGGGCAATGCTCACAATGATGAAATACTCAGCGATTGGAAGGCCGTAGCGACAAACAGGTCTCTCTCAAGTCTTACGTGGTGTTGCGTGGGCAATCGGCTGGGGTACGTCAAGAATTTTCACTCGAGAGCTTGTAAAGCTGGGTTTGATGATACTAACTAAATCCTTGTAGAGCACATCCAACCTAAAAGGACACACAGCAGAGCGATTATTGAGTCGCAATCGGAGTTTGAGAACCACAGCATTTTCACTCAGGCAGTAAAGTCAGATCCCCATCTTCTGTGGAGAGCGCATGCATTTCGATAATTGAGGAGTGCTTTGTCATGTCCTGCATACTAAAGACAGTGCCGAGCCTCGAGCCAGCACCGATTGAGAAGGTCGTCAGAACTCGCCTGCAGATGCGCCCAAGAACAGAACTCACTACGGTGCTGACATACTTGAAGCCCTACGCCCGAATCTGCTGGATTTTGATGGCCGGTCAAGGTTTCAGAGTCGGACGATTGTTGTTCGGTGACGTTTGTTTACGGGCATTTCGCTGTAAAAAGATACAGATAGTCCAGGGAGACCCTTGCGCGGTTGCGCCCCTAGCGGCTCCATGCTGCAAGGTGCTCAATCAAGGATCGGTGTAAAGGTGAGAAACGCAGATGCAGAGCATCACGACATGAATGGACAACATTATTGTGAAACTCGAAAATAGACGCAAGCACAGTCTCTCCATTCGGAACCTCGACGTGAGATATTCCGCTGTATCCGGAGGGCAACCACCAGCATATCTACTTGCGCCCCTCTCGCTCGCCTTTCAAGGCGTATGGTTCATATCGGGTAGTCCTCGACTCTTCGACGCCGTCACAAGTCGGATGCGTGTCATGCGGTATTCGCTGTCTCTCTTTCCAATGCAGGAGATGCTCTGTTTGTACCCCGGCATGATTCCTTCCCCGGAATGGGCTTTCGGGAGAGTGAGAAGCATCGAGATAGGAGTGATTCCGGAAGCACCTTCATCGTCAAACTAGCCCACTTGCTGCGAGATTGCTTGACCACATTGGCGCCATGAAAAGCGCCTGATGCAAGTAAGCGCTTACTGCATGATATAACTGGATTGTACATTCAGTCCCAGAGGGTACGCGGGAACAACACCAACGGCCCTCACTGGCTCTGTACTATTTTGCTGCAGGCTATAGCGTGCCGAGTCTCATCCTTAAGCTGGGCATTCCTAACTGGTTTCCTGATGATTACCTGGCTGTGACCTTCGGCGATTAGGGTCAGACTTAACATGCTGAGATCAGAAGACGAACAATCTTTACAACACACTACTTTTTACTATCTTTTTGCCCTCACAATTTTCTGACACCACCCAGGGTTTATTATAAACGGCTAGCATCCACATCACTGTAATGGCTCAATGCCATCCATGTTCATCTCCTGATTCCTCATACAAAGTACCAAACCTTATCCAATCGAACATACTCTCGAAATGGCCTGGGGTTTGCTTCCTAGCGACTGGAACCCCTCAGCCTGGGCAAGCCAGTGGCTTACTCAAATACCTCTAGAGTCTACTGCCAAGTGCAGCCCGGCAGGGTTATCTCTCCCCGATATCACTGGAGTGAGCATACTCTCTATCGAAGCCTTCGAGCAAAGAAATCATACATACGTTCCTGGCCCGTTTGCAGCAGGCCTGCCAGACTCCAAAATTATCGCAGGCCTCAACTTCTGTAATGTCACTGTCACCTACACACATCCAGGTTGGCACGACATAATCAACGTCAATACTCTGCTTCCCACCGACGATTGGAACGGTCGATTCACGGGTATCGGTGGAGGCAATCTTGCCACTGGGGGAGGGATGGTGGCAGAATTCTTGATGATGCCTATTATGGCATCAGGATTTGCTACCGCCACCACTGATGGCGGGCACTCGTCAGACGTTCTTGGTCCTGAGGCTAACGAACCTTCCTGGGCTCTGGCCAGCCCTGGCAACGTCAACTGGCCATTGTTTATGGACTTCGCCTCCGTTGCGCTACATGATACGGCCACTATCGGCAAGGCGGTCGCAGAAGCGTTCTATGGCACCGCACCAACGTACTCATACTTCCATGGCGGTTCTACTGGCGGCAGACAAGGTCATATGCTTGCGCAAAGATATCCAAAGGACTACGACGGTATCGTTGCTTTGTTTCCTGCTGTGAACTGGGTCAGATTTTTCTGGGCCACCTTTTGGCCAAAGTTCGTCATGGACAAATTGCGCACTTATCCCCGATCTTGCGAGTTTGATGCTATCACGACCGCTGTTCTGTCCGCCTGCGATAAGCTAGACGGTCTAGAAGATGGGATTATTTCTAGGATTGATCTCTGTGACTTTGACCCCCAGGACGTCGTAGGAAAGGCAATTGACTGCGACGGTGGTGAGACAACAGTGTCTTCTGCGGCTGCGCATGTGATCAAAGCGACATGGGATGGGCCTCGAAGCTCCACGGGCGAGTTTCAATGGTACGGGTTCAGCAAAGGCACTAATCTAACACAGCCACTCACTGGACCGATACAGATCCATTGTAATGAAGAAGGCTCTTGCCAGGCCGAGTCACTCGCTGTTTGGGCTCGATACTGGGTCAAAAAAGACCCCTCGTTCGACATAAGCTTAATAACGCATCAGGAATGGGATGATCTTGTACACGATTCTGTCAATGAATACGACTCCATTATCGGAACCTCGGACCCGGATTTATCTGCTTTCAAGAGAAGGGGTGGCAAGATGGTCAACTGGCATGGAACTGTAGACGCGGCTATTCCATTCAACGGGAGCACCGACTACTACGACCGTGTCTTAATCCGTGATCCAGAGGCTCCTGATTACTATCGCTTTTTTGTGGCTCCTGGCGTCGGCCACTGCTTCCACTGCGGACCTAGTCCTCCACCGACGATGGAATACATTGTTGACTGGGTGGAGAAGGGTATAGCTCCTGACACGTTGCGAGCCTCGGGACCAAACGGACTTGGTGTTCAGGTGGAAAGAGACATCTGCATGTATCCCAAGGTCCAACATTATGTGGGAGGGGATCCAACAGTGGCCTCGTCTTTTATTTGCGTCTAGAGAGGTGTTTGGCGACAACGAGTAATTATTGTATTAGTTGCTAAGTGACAAGACCGTCTTCGCAACTACTATTAACGCCATTGGGAAGGTATGCAAGTTTACCGCTAAAACGGAACTACACTGGTCTAGTACCTTCGCCAATAATCAACCCTCTAAAAACAACGCCACATTTTGCGTACGTGTTCTCGTTCCTGTTGCTCTCGTGTCCGCTGCTCTTGAAGCTCACGGTCTTGTTGTTGTTGCTCCTGACGCTCGAGTTCGCGTCTTTGTTGCTCCTGCTGCTCAAGTTGTCGCCGCTGCTGCTCTAGACCACGGGTCTCTTGCCACTCACGCCGTTGTCGCTCTTGTTCTTGTCGCTGCTGTCGCACTCTCTGTAAAGAACGCCAAACTTTTCAATAAAAAATTCTCGATAATGAAAACGCTCTGCCTTGGGTCCGGCGACTAATGTTTCTGTTGTACTTTCTCATGTGGAGTTGTTCAGGGACTTTCTTACCTCCTCTGACTCTCGAATAAGTCTGAGCTGCCGCTCCCGCGCCTCCTGCTGTATGCGCTGTTGGCGCTCTCTGTCAAAGTTACTAGCCATACCTTATATTGTGTAGTAGCTGTGGTGCATTTCTGTCCTTCTGGCCTTGCTGTTTGCTGTTTGTATTGGAGTAGCCCCCATTAGTGGTTTCCTTCATACTAAGTTGACTTCTCCCAGAGTCACCGTATCAAACAAGAAGTGCCAGCGGTGAATATTGACGGAGTTGATAATCTAAAAGAGACCTCTATAGTAAAATGGCTTCAGATGAGTGAGTGCAAGCCAACCCGGACTCTTGTTATTACGTTGGCTACAGTATATACAGAATATCAGCTCCTCACTCTCCGCCAACATGCTTTACACAATGCTGCCAACTCACTCCAATCAACATTTGTTTGTTTATAGACGACCCGCCGATGGCTGCATGGTACATCTAAGTCTCGCCCTAGAAAACAGCACCTAGCCAGCATGGTTTTAACAGGGTTAGGCTGCTTCCCTTGATCGACCCCAAGAGGTGCTACGAACGTGGAACTAACTTTTCAGTGCGATGATTGTGGCTTCTCACGATATTCTGTCTTCGCGTAAGACAAAAAAATATCCAAGAGGGAAAGCGTTTGTTTGTTATGTAACAAATGCTGTTCGGTTGAACATCATGCATACTCCATGAATCTTGGACCTTAATACTGGTAGAAAACCATCTGATTTGACTAGACGACAAAAATGTTTCAAGGTTTCAAGACTGCCGATTTCTCGTTCAGTATCTTTTGGCGGTAATCATGATCATACTTAACCATGCAACCCAACAGGAAATTCTAGTTTAGGGATAACCAAAACCTTAATTCACGGAATTCGCGACTTCAGTCCAATCACCAAAATCCAAGCTTATCGCGGTGTAGCATCTGAAGTCCTGTTCTCTGAAATCCAACTCTCATGACCAGGCGGCCTCGGGCGACCTTCGTCATTGGGCCACCACGCGCTGACGCGGTAATCGTTGACCCACGCCAAGCTAGCCTTGCGATGGTCATGCCACGAGCAATAGTTCCAGTGCCATGTCGCCATATCGTACCAGTACCGCACGTTGGTGCACTGCACTACTTTGCATTCGTCCATCTTGCGGCCAAAGTCGATCCAGTCAGCGCGATGCGGTGGTGACGTTCTGTCGCACCACTCGATGATGGCCTTGGGGAGCGCCTTCTCTTGCAAACGCCACTCGAGCTCTTTCATGCATATTGCTATGCACGCGGGGACACTCTCAATTTTGAAGACACGGTTTGGAGTGAACCGGTATTTACCGGCGGCTGCTGGGGCAGTGAGGAGGACAAGGGGTGCCAGGAGTATGGCGAGGGTGTTGAGCTTCATCGCGGGGATTAGCTTATTCTTATTTAAGTGGCTGGTGTATGTTTGAAGGATACACAAACTGGTAAGAATATTCAAAAATGAGGAGTATCAGGAGACGGCTTCCCTCTTACACAGATTTAAAGTATAGGAGTGATTATAATTTTTGGCGTGTGCAAAGTCGAAAAGAAGTAGGCTTCCATGACCAGCTCGTCAGCGGGGTGCAGTTTTATAGATTATCAAGAGAATCAGGTCTCATGGACCTACCAAAATGGTCGAATCGCTACTCGAAAAATCTTGTGTTGTTGAAAAGCAGCATACCCTGCTGGTGAAGGAAAGTTTCCTGAGCTTTGGTTACCAAAAACTAAATTCTCAAGACCAAACTTCAAATCAGGTAACAAAGGAAAGGGAAATTTAGAATTGGGCTGACAAGCGATCGATAAGAAATGGGCTAGAAGAGTACACTTTGAACATGACCTTTTGATTTACAGGACATCCTGGCGTACTGTTTCATTATCTACCGGGTGCTCTAACCTGTAACCTCGAAGAAGACACCTTCGCCTACTCCCAAAGGTGAGAATTGCCACCTGTTTATGAGAGTTGGATCCAATTCCTGGCCCAAAAAGCATCGAAAACTGGAAGGATAGCGCAGGCAGCAAAAGTAATAAAACAAAAGCCAGGGGAGCATTTGATGAGTCGGTTCGAGTGCCTTACTTTGGCAGGTTTCAACGGTACTTCCAGCGACTCCTGGTTCATGTAGCACTTTGTTTCATAGTTTCTCGTTTTATTGTCTGAATGCAGAGACTTTACAATTGTCAAAATCGCTTTTGTTCTATTCCATTTTATCTTACTCGATAGTAAGCTAGTTCAAATTACTCTTCTCCCTCACCGTCCTGCGGTGCTATGAAACGCCGGCTTCAAAATCAATATTATAAAACCAACATAATTCGTTACTGCCCATCAACCTAGGCCGTTACGTCCACGTCATTGAAACTAGGCGACCCTAAGCTAGGGCAACGCCATCGACCATGTTGTTCTTTGCCTTCTTCTTATCCTTGCGACGGGTGGAAGATTTCCTCTGGGGAGGCGGTACAGCTATCGCCATAATTGGAGGAGTAGTGGCGGGGACGGCGGGGGCGGGAACCGCAGCGCCGGGAGTCGCAGGAATAGAGAAAGCAGCGATTGCCTGGTTGAAAATAGCCTGCAGGCTGATCTGGTCTGCTGTGGCATCTTTTTGTCCGACTCTGGGGACCTTTTCGGCTAGTGCTTGACTCAGCGACATGGTAGCGACCCGCTGCTGTTGGAGGGACTGTAGGGCAACATTGCTAACGCCAAGCTGGTCGAGGATAGGCTTCCGAGCAACCAGGTCATTGAGTGTACTTCTTGTCTGGGAGGCAAGGCTGTCTGTTGTTTGGCGCAGTTTGAGGGATTTGGCGGCGGAAAGGTCTCCAATGGCTCGGACGTTCACGGTGGCCTGGTTGAGGGAAACCTGGACTTGTTGAGAGGCGGCAAGTAAGTTGGCTGCTGAGGCGGGAGTGCCAAGGCCAAGGACTGCAACATCGACGTTTTGAAGCGAGGCGAAGATTGGTGCGAGGGTTGCTTGGATGTTGTCGAGGTCATTACGCCTTTCAATGACTGCTCTGGGCTTGAGGGGGGCGGCAAGGAGAAGTACAGCCTGGCCTAGGAGGCCAAGAACCAAAGTTTGGGCGTGCATTACGTAAGGATGTGAGGATTTCAGCTAAGTGGGATTAGATGTTTTTTTATAGCTCAGGTGTTTTGAAACTTAGTGGATAGCTGGGTTCTTGTGCTTGAGGTCTCGATAAAGGTCGCAAAAGTTGGGTTTCTGTTGGCGGGAGATGGAGTGTTTATAGGCACCGGTCAAGCTGTTTGCGACAGACTGGAGCATAGTCAGATCGCAGTTGAGACGAGATAAAGAAGCCGGCATCAATGGTTACCGTCTGTGTCGATGCCTCAGACGTGAGACACAGCTGTGATGTATACACGAGTAATTAAGGTTCCTACCCTTGGGTATGGCGGTCGTACTCGGAAGCCCTATCCCTCTGACGCGATTGTATTCGGAAGCAGACGACCAACGTCCGTGTTGAGGTTTCGTGGGTATCAGGTTGCGAGATGCTTGTCGTCACCCGTCATTGGCAGCCTGACAACACTTGACAGCTTGAAAGTCACGGACCAGCCAATGACAAGGAACTGTTGCTGGGATCGTAGAGTAGCCGAATGCGCGAATGAAAGCCAGTTCTCAGCCCAACAGGGATAGTGAGTCTCTCACCATGACGAAGCATAAATTACAGGAGCTGTGAAACAATCGCACCGTGTTCGTAATTGTAACATCAGCAACAGCCACATCCGAAGCAGCAATGTCCGGCCTCGAAGACTTTAAAGAGCTGCTATACGTCAAAAGATGAGATGAATGGCGAACTGAGGGCTAAATGTGGAAGAGAATAAGGATTAAGGCCGCATGCATGACAGGTGCTCGGACCTATTTTCGCAGATTTGGGAGCGCTACAAGGGAGGTGAACGGCGACTTGGTGATGTCGTGTCAGACCGATTGGCGAGTCCGAAGATTGTTTTGCCTCCTGCCAGTAGGCATCCTTACCGTATCCCCAATTATAGCCCTGTATTTACAGACACACTACATGCTACTAGAGTCCGGGTTTTCCCCCTTCCTTTCTCGAGGTCAATTGAGCGTCAGTAGGGACCCCGACAAGGTTTATGTTGTCGGGAGGTTCTAATCTGTCAAGCAGAACCGCAAAGAGCAAGGAATGGGATACGCGCGATTAGATAGGGATCTTAAGTGATCTTGGTTCATCTCGAAAATACCCTGTTGATCTTCGTTAGCTTTCAAAAGGAGAAGTGCCGGTAGATCACAGGTTTGCTCTTGGGATGGTGGAGTCTTAAATGCGAGTACACCACCAGTAGGGCTGATGTCTGCGAACAGCACCGCCACCAATGTAGGTTTCGATTCTGCCCTGAAAACCGTTAGTGAGTGATAACTGCAATTCTTAAGAACCTTGTGACTGGGTTTGGTATGAAAACCTGGGGGATCTTATCAACACTTGAAAGAGTAGGGAGATGAACTCAACTCAATCTTTGGTGGGCTGTGAACGGTGAGGCCCCCAAAAGGAAGTTGCCCAGGCTCTTCAAAGCGGTCGACGCTACTTAACACCACAATCATAGCAAACTGCACCGCCGAGTACGGCGGCAGGGGATGAATACAGGTGAAACAGATACATCATGTAGGCTGCTTTAGGTCGGATCTCCGCAGCTTGTGCGCAACTGCGACATTGATCTTCTCAACGGAGCCAGTCAGACTGCGATTCCGTGCTTCAGGGCTTCGCAGCAATACTGACATAGGTTCAATTTGCAAAAAAGGCCATTTTGACGACCCGGCCAGTCAATGCGATCCAGACGCCTTAACAATTTGCCAAGTTCGTAGGACATCTTTTGAGTCCACTCACAATTTGATTAATTAATCGGACAGCTCGGTGGGCAAAATGTTCATCATACGTACTTATTGATGAAGTCTCTTGGTAGGTCAAGAACATCGGCTGTAGACGGATTGACTTTCGTTAACGCACGCAATGACAATTTATGCTTACGTTCCCACCCACACTTTTCCAGCGATCATCACGGTTCCTTTTGGAATTTGGCATTCAGCACGCACCCACTGTGATCGCCGCAACGATCCTGTTGATCGCCGTAGATCCCACCGGCACCTGAGCACAGGGAGAAGTCGAATCATGGAACAACACACTTTCTCCTCGCACTTTGTCGCGGTTCTTTTCATCCACCACCCGGCCAACAAATACGCCCCTAGAGCCAGCCCTAAGCAACTTCTTTGGACGTTGAATCGCAGTTTTAGGAGAGATCTGAACAGTCTGGGAGGGTGTATTGCAGGAGCAAGCAGACACGCGCCCTCAAGAAAAATCCGCCGGTTTTACTGCTTCTATACCCTACCAAACCGACGGACTTTTCTTGAGGCGCATGGCAGACAACCAAATACAAACCTCGGATGTCATCGTCGATAATGGTACCGAGGCTGTACGCGGAGCGCATATTGGCCGAGGGAATTGCCTGATGGTGTGTGTAACCTTTACGCAAGGGCCTTAGATGATCAACGTATCGTTGCCTCTACTACCAATGGAAGGCCGGCCACGTATACAGTTGCCCAAGCGTTTATGCGATAATCTCAATACATTTATGAGAAGCCTTGAAACACTATGGTCTGGGGCGAAGCTTCTATCTCGGGATGTAACCCTGGAGTTCTAGGTGTCTTGAGTATCTGAGACTTCATATAACGGCCAGAACTATATCCTCGGATTCCAATACTGCCAAACGGAAGCCTGTGATTCGAAGGACATTGAAGGCAATCGGATACAGTACAATGAGAACGTATACAACGTGCGATCGAGACTGTGACTATGGGCCAGCTTCAAGCACATATTCGCATACTCTGCACTTCCCACTGAGGAAAATAGATGGTGAAGAATACTGTGGAAGCAAGCTCATTCCAGCACGATGATTTGTAACGCCGCTATCAGCTTCAGATTATACTGGCGTCGAACAGACAAGATTTTAAAAAGAAAAACTCAATAAAGCAGTCACAGTAAACTCATCATCGTAACCAGTATCTACAAGCTTGACCAGCTAATAGACTCTGAGAGTGTTACTCAATCGATAGTCTCGGCCGAAGCTTGGCCTTGCGACGCGAAGCCAATGGCAGTCATCCAAAGTCGGTAATCTACAATCCCCAAGTCCGAAGACATTTCGACAGATAAGGTGTGGCAAGACGAATCGACGACCCCAAGGCGTCGATTCTCGTATGGACTTGTTCCTCTTCCGTAAAGTTTCAGATGATCGCTCAGTCTTGGCGAGAGTCGCTCAACAACGTGAAGTGCGGCCGTTGGTCAGCATCGCCAAGGCCAAGAAAGACCCAAGAGGACCAAGATTTCACGGGACTCGCAAGTGGAGAGGAGGGCGTTAACGCAGAGAACAGGACCCTTAGGAATCGGGCCAGGCCCTCCTTCCTGCCTCCTTGACCGCATTGAGATCCAGCGGCCGTTTATTCTCCTGTGAGATGACGGCGTCGCGGCCAAGCATCGAAGCCAAGGTGGGCTTTCTGCATAAACACCCCCAAACCTGCGAGGCCGGTAGAGAAAAGGGTTCTGTGAGAATGGGGCCGATGCCATCATCCAAGACTCGGGTGCATGCATGGTGCCGTAATACAAGCTCATGGGAGGAAGCAAGTCAAGCAAAAGTCAAGCCTTGCGTGGAGCAGTCACATGACGAGACAAAGACAAGACGGACAATACGGACAAGACGGATAGGTGAAGGCTTAGGTTGCAATGCCATTGCTGATCATCGTTGCAGGCACGTTTCCGCGGCGTGGGATTTACTCAGTGAGTTGTGTTTGAGTGCCTGTGGCCGGCCGGCGACATGTAGCCACCATACGGTCTGTCTTACCCCAGGATCGCCGCAAACGTATATTCCGTAGTGATACCTAGAGGGTGAGGTTAGTTTACACTACCGAGTGGCAGCCACCATAGCCTGGCGCGCTCGACTAGTCTGATGATGACGAACATGACAAGCGGCTCCGAGGGTCTGGTTCGGGGCGAAAGCCGATAGTGCGAGGTGACGGCATCGAAGGAAACGAGCAGGATTTGGAGCTTTTTCCCACCCGAGTCGTCTCATGGACCGGATCTGGGTTTCGACGGCTTAGAGCGTCAGGGGACCACGGCGAACGGTCGACGGCTTGGCGCGAAAGATTTCTTTGCCAAGGACGTACGACCAAGAACCGGTGGTGTTTTCTGGCCCGAGCGAGCGAGAAATGAGAGAATCGAGAGCCCAAAGGCCAAGGGGGCGGAGAAGGGAAACGGGAGGGCGTTTCTGGGTTGAACCTCCTACGTCACTTGGCCTGGCCCACACCATCTTGCGCGGTCGCGAGAAGCCAAGCGCTTGGCGACCCCACCGAGAAGATTGTGACCGTGTCAGACCATATGAAGTTGGGCCGGGAAAAATCCGATAGAAATTGGAATTAGGGTGCTCTCGATGATGGAGATGCTCGGGGGTTGGAAAAGGGTCGGACGGAGTGTTTGTAAAAAAAAAACAGAGATAGCCGCCGGGAGCGATACTTGTTTCGCATGGGGGATGAGCGCAAGGACGGGCGCCGGGCGCGGGGTTGATGGGTGGTTGACGTAAAACCGACAGACAGGATCAGCATCGCGGTTGGATCGCAGCCGTGCCCTTCCATGTGCGATGTGGTGTCTCTTCGTCCGCCCATTGTGGCCTGTGTTTATAGATGTCTCGATTTTTTCGAGACGTGTGTCCTGACTTCTCGGATCGCTGATGGGGAAGAGATGCAGAAGCAGGCCGTGAGTGGTCAATTGACGACAAAGTGGGAGGGTGGGTTAGATGGGCACCATGGGGAACTTCTGGAGTCTGGAATGTCTAGGCCCAGCGACGGTCATCCCACGTTGGAGTCAACCCAACGTCGTTGAGTCGTAGGACAAGAACTGCCAAGGTGCGCCAAGTAGAGCCGGCGCAAACGGAGTCGCAATGGTGGGTGGCTACCGTATCCATACGAGGCCGCACGCACAAGGCGCCGCAGCACTACCATCAAGAGGGGGGGTCGTGTGCGTCCGTCGCATTTGTACATTTCCATTGCTCGGGATGGACGCATCTGGAGGGTTCGGAGACGCACGTAAGTTGGCTAAGCAGCAATGACAGGAATGCCGTGGAAGAGACAATTACATTCTTTTCACTTGAAGCCGGAACAGCGTTGCTTTTTTCGTCTGCACATCTCTCCATCCGTCCCTCGGGGCTCGCTACGGAGGCCGTCATTGTGAATGGTTGTCCGGAATCTGGAGATGTCGTTTCCTGCATTGCCCGCGCCGACTGGCCGACCGCCCAATCCCCGGTCTGCCTTGTCTGGCTTGTGTAGCTAGCGGCTGTTGTTATGTCGCTGTGGCTGCGTGTACACGAGTTCATGGGGTGTGCTTATGTGAGTGCGCGTGGCGGATTGATGTGGTGAAAGTCGGATCTTGGCAGCGGAGTTGAGCGAAAAGTGACTGAACGTGGCGTGCCGTGGCCATCCGGTGTCGCTCCGCCCGGCGGAACGCGAAGCCAGATTGCGGCTCTCGGTTTCTCGGTATCGCAAACAATGACGGATGGCCTTGTAGCGTTCCGCCGTGGCCGGAAGCAGTCCCATACGAGGAAGACCGGTCAGCTGACGCTTACACGTGATATCAAACCTTGTTTGTAAGAGTCGTAAACAGAGAGAGAGGGTACTGTGAGGATAGAGCCTCTCAGCCTCCAAGGATATTCAGATTGGCTTCGGCATGGCGCATGGGGTGGAAACTGGAGTTCAGCAGATGAGTGGCGTGTATAGAAAAGGGAGAAGTGGTCAGGATGTTGCTGTTTCGGAGGCTTTTTTGTTGAGGTGAAGCCGAGAGTTGTTCCATTTTTTGCAGCGTGCGTGCAACACAGGATGCACATATGGGACTGGAGGGCAGAAAAGGCCGGGAAGGTGCAACGCAAACAGCCAAAAGGCGAAACACAACATCGAGGTTCAGTGGCTCTCAGCTATTGCGGTGGAGTTTTGCAGCAGCCAAGGCGCTACGATCTGCCCCCTTTGTGACCGCCGTACAGCAAAACAGTTGCGGCGAGTCCGCTGAGTCGCGTAAGTACCCGGGCTATGCATCTTGGCTGGCAAGGTACCTCCACCCGCTGTAACCCAGCGCTGAGGGGAGGCCGACAGGGCGCCAGAGGCAAAAGCCAAGAAGGAACGAGCCCAGCAGCCAAGAAGTCTGCAGCCAATCACACAATATAGATTGCCTTGAAGTCTCCATAGAAAATGCGAGAAGGCCTGTGCCCCGGGGTCAGGAGCAGGTGCAGCAGCACGTGATGCGCCTCCTGCCCATGGCGCAGTCGACACTAGCACCTTGTCATTGGTGCACCGCATCAAATAACCTTATTCGCCCGGTGGCGGCCAATGGCGTCACTGGTCACTTGCTGGAGTGTGTTGCCGTCATATCGTCCGGGCTGCAGACTCGCACTCAACTTCCTTTCCCCTACTACTCACTTTTGATATCTCAACTCTGTGCACTGCGGATGCTTGGCTAGTCGGGTGCTTTTGCTGCCGGCTGGAGAGGGGGAATCCTGGAATGTCGTTCGTGTCTGTGGTTCGTCCGTCCTTTGTCTCCCCGGGTCCTCACCACACGCGTGTCTCGGTATGTTTACATGTTTTCGCAACTGGCAACCCTGATCAAACTCTAGTTGGGCAACAGGAGGAAGCAAAAGGGCACCCTCTCCAGCGCAATTGGCCTCCCGGCTGCGAGAAAAGCAAAGCAAACGCGCCCTTTCACCCGCATCGCATCAGGTCAGTATCAGAGACGGTCCTTCCTCTCAAATGCCCAGTCCCCGGTCCATCTCGATGTCTCTCCATTTCTGCATGATTGTGAGTCTGTCTTATCTGTCTCTCTTCCCCACGCACCTCCTCCTCTTCGTGCGTCGTCTTTCGGTCCTGCTCCATCTAGCAAGCTGAGGGGTCCCAGTCTAGGTCCGGGTCTAGAGTCGCTCTTGCTCCCTCTTCCCCAGCACCCTCCCTTGTCCCTTCCCTACCTTATTCCTCTCCCCACCACCGGTCCCCACTCCCTCTGGGACGCCCCACTTCCGTCGACGCCGCTTCCCTCCGCCAAGAGCTCCGCCAAGCGCTCCGCCAAGGTCATCGTCACCCGAGAACCACCACTGAACCGGACCGTCTTCTTTTCTCCTCCAAAGGCTCAGAAACGGTCCCAACTCCGTCTCCAAAAGCCAAGAGGCCAAGGAGCTTACCACCCTTGCGTATACAGCAGTCTTTGCTCACCATTTCTCGACCCTCTGCCAAGCTGCGAATTCCATGCCTACCGTCTTGGAAACAGCATCCGTGCCCAATCACACTCGCTGCAGTCGGCACAATGACCGAATGCCTTGCCTGTCTCCTACTCCAAGCCCCTCCGTGAGGGACCCGACCCGCGCAAGTGAATTCCAAAACACAACCCGCCGCTTTTGTCCAACTGCCACACCCCAAACCACAACACCGTGTCAAGCCCATCAAGATAAGCGCCTTTCGATCGCGATGAGGTCAGAAACAAATTTTTCTCTTCATGTGAGGCTATTGCCTGCTTTATTATTTTCGGTTTGGACCGTCCTAATCATACGTTTACAGCACAACGCTTCACAATTGTTTCAAATCAACTGGCTCAACGAAGGCCGCTTGACATACTGTCTAGGCATAGCCCGGCATCAAGTTTGGACTTTGACGACAGTTGGGAAAATATTGTAGGCAGAACAGCATCACTATAGGCCTGCAATATCAGCCTCCTACTATCATGGTTTGGTGATTTGTATCTTACGTTGTTGGATCTGAAGTCGTTGCTGGTTACAGCCCAGAAGGAGCATGTTCTCTTCTTATTCTCCCCCCACTCAGGCTCACAGAGTTTTCATACATTGGAAATCGCAAGTTTTGCCTTAATCATGTAAAGTTCAATCAAGAGCTTCGCAAAGCGGGCATTTTAACTTCAGATCGCTCCGCATAGTAAGGGCCTCATTGAAGTTAACACCGTACTCATTTGGATTCTCTCACAGCCATGTGGCTCCTTCTCCGTAAAGTTGTTATGGATGGTAGCATCAGAAGGCAAAGGCTCTACGAGGTCTCCGCAGAACCTAAAGCCCATAGGTGCTGAAGTGTTAAGTAATCTTCAATACCCTCTGCTTAAAGAGCATCTTTAGTTCTATGAAATCAAGCCCTTCTCGGAAATCGCAGTGCGCGGTGCCCATTCTCGCTGATTCAAAGCGGTAGTGTTGAGGCAAGAAATGTATGTGTGTGGTTGGTGTGGCCGTTTGGTCAAAGCGGCGATTTGTTTTGTCACCCGTGGGCCGCCGAGCAGACGGTGGAAGAGGGGGGGTGTCTTGTTATCATATGCCCAGACCTTGGCGTCTTTCCCAGGTTTTTCTTTCTTTCTCCTACCCCGATGACCTTACAAGCTACTCAGCACAAGCTTCCAAAGTTTTCTAAACCTTGCTGGCTTCCAAGTCTACCAGTCCCTCGGCTGTCCATCTATAAAGGTAGCCTTGTCCCCCCAATCCTTAGCGATCTCAAAGTCTAGATTGCCAACCCAAACACCTTCTTCTCCACCCCACGAACTCATCAGAAGAAGCTTCTTAGTCCTCGAAGCCAATCTTTCTTCCGACCTCACCTGAGAGACACACCAAAACACCGTCTCACTTCCACCAACCCGCCTCTGCTGATCTAAGCTTCCTCCCTACCCAACTTCCCCCGTGAATGGGAGCAGCTTCCATATCATCGACGTCGCCGGCTCAGACACGACACAATGTCTGGTGACTACCAAAAGCACCCCTTCCTGCTGTCGGTCCAAGAGACCGCTCAGACGCTTGGAGTCGATCCCGATAAGGGATTGTCATCGCAGCAGGTCCAGCAGGCGCAAGAAAAATACCCTCCCAATGAATTCGAAGTCGGCGAGTCGGTGCCATGGTACACCATTCTCAGCAAGCAGCTGTTCAATGCCATGGTGCTTGTCCTCGTCTTTGCCATGATTCTTAGTTTCGCCATCAACGACTACATTGAGGGCGGTGTCCTCGCCTTCGTCATCGTCGCCAACGTCACCATCGGGTTCTGGCAGGAATATCGCGCCGAGAAGCAGATGGACGCTCTGCGTACCCTATCTGCTCCCTCTGCCACTGTTTTGCGCGACGGAAAGACCAAGGTCATCCCCAAGTAAGTACACGCAATGCGTCGACACGCATTCCCCCCCACTTTCACTCCTTGGCTCTCTTGGCCCTTGGCCCTTGGCCATCTTGCTTGATTCTGCTTGGCAAACAGCTGACCCGTGCAACAGTGCCGAAGTTGTTCCCGGTGACATCATCTTGCTTAAGATGGGCGACACCGTGCCCGCCGATATGCGCGTCTTTGAGGCCATGAACCTGTCCTGCGATGAGCAGTCCCTGACCGGTGAGGCTCAGCCCGTCGACAAGATCTCCGAGGCCAACATTACGGTCCCTGGCACTGACAAGCTCGCCACCGAGGAGGGCGAGGTCGGTATCGGTGACCGTCTCAATATCGCTTATGCCACCACTATTGTCCGCAAGGGTCGTGGCCGTGGTATCGTTGTCGCTACCGGCATGCAGACCGAGGTTGGCAAGATCGCCGCCTCTACCCAGAAGAAGACTCGCAAGCCTGGCCGCTCAATGAATTACAAGAAGTACGGCAAGCGCCAGCCCGTCGTTGGTCTCACCAAGCGCATCTACGATGCCGTCGGTAAATTCCTGGGTCTCACTGAGGGTACTCCTCTGCAGAGGAAGCTCGCTGCTCTGGCCTACATCCTCTTCGGTTGTGCCATCATCCTGGCCATCATTGTGTTCGCCGCCCACAAGTTCGACGTTACTGGCGAGGTCATCATCTATGCCGTTTCTCTCGGTATTGCCATCATCCCCGAATCTCTTGTGGCGTAGGTTCTGGATTCTGTCTCTCAATTCACACTGTTGACTAACAGCGAAATAGTGTCCTCACCATCACCATGGTTGTCGCCGTGACTGTCATGAGAAAGTCCAACGTCGTTGTTCGAGACCTTTCAGCCCTCGAGGCTCTCGGTGGTGTCACCAACATTTGCTCCGACAAGACCGGGACCCTGACTCAGGGTGCCATGATTGTTCGCAAGGCCTGGCTGCCCTTCTCCCACACCTACACCGTCCGCGACTCGCAAAGCCCCAACGACCCGACCAAGGGCCGAGTCACCTACTCCGAGTCCAAGGAGCCGGAAGAGAAGGTTGAGGAGGCGCCCAAGCGCGATTACGACCAGGAGCGTTCCGCCGCTGTTCTCAAGTTTGACGTTCCCGAGGAGAAGCTGCAAAACAAGTCACCCGCCAAGGAGCCCGAGGCCGAGAACGAGGCTGAGATGACGCCCCGTCTCAAGGCTTTCCTCCTGTCTTCCGCCCTCTGCAACCTCGCCACCGTTCGATACGACGAAGAGGAGGCCAAGTGGCAGACAACTGGCGAGCCTACCGAGATTGCCCTCCAGATCTTTTCCCACCGTTTCAAGCTCGGCAAGAAGTCCCTTGAGGGCCTCGGTTGGAAGCAGCTTGCTGAGTTCCCATTTGACAGTTCTATCAAGCGCATGTCCGTCATCTACGACCTTCCTCAGACCAACGAGGCTTCCGACATCTGGGGCCCCGAAAACAGTCTTGTTTTCACCAAGGGCGCCGTCGAGCGAATCTTGGACTTGTGCAGCCACATTGGTTTCGGCGATGACAAGGTGGAACTCACCGAGGAGCTCAAAGAAGAAGTCCTCAACCAGATGAACAACCTTGCCTCCCAAGGCCAGCGTGTGCTTGCTGTCGGCTACCGCGACTGGAATGGACGATTCACCACCAAGCAGGCTGACGTCTCCCAAGAGAAAGAGAACGCGTTGCGCACCGAAGTCGAACAAGGTCTCACTCTTCTCGGTCTCGCTGGAATCTACGACCCTCCCCGTCGCGAGACCAAGCCATCTATTGCTGAGTGTTCTTCCGCTGGCATCAAGGTCCACATGCTCACCGGTGATCACCCCGAGACCGCCAAGGCCATTGCAAAGGAGGTTGGAATCATCCCCAAGAACCTCGGTGTCTTGCCCGACGCGCTCGCCAAATCAATTGTCCAGAAGGCCACCGACTTTGACAAGATGACGGATGCGGAAATCGACGCTATGCCTGAACTGCCCCTGGTCATTGCTCGTTGCGCTCCTGATACCAAGACTCGCATGATCGACGCCCTCCGTCGCCGCAACGCCTTCATGGCCATGACTGGTGACGGTGTCAACGATGCCCCCTCCCTGGCCCGTGCTGACGTCGGTATTGCCATGGGTTCCGGATCTGACGTTGCCAAGTCCGCTTCCAAGATCGTGTTGACTGACGACAAGTTCAACTCCATCGTTTCCGCTATCCGCCAAGGTCGTCGTATGTTCGACAACATCCAGAAGTTTATTCTCCATCTGCTCAGCTCCAACGTCGGTGAGGTCATCCTACTTTGCTGCGGTCTCGCTTTCCGTGACGGCGCCGACCTCTCAGTCTTCCCTATTTCCCCCCTCGAGATTCTCTGGATCAACATGGTTACCTCGTCCTTCCCCGCCTTCGGTCTGGGTCGTGAGCAAGCCGCCGCCGATGTCATGCGCAAGCCCCCTCAGAACAAGAAGCGTGGTGTCTTCACCAACCAGATCATCGTCGATATGATTGTCTACGGTATCATCATGGGCGCCCTGACTCTGGCCACCTTCATCATCGTCGTCTACGGTGCCAACGGCGGAGCTTTGGGTAACGAGTGCAACAAGACCTTTACCGAGGCTTGCAGGCCAGTCTTCCGCGCCCGTGCTGCCGTCTTTGCCGAGCTCACCTGGATCATCCTCATCTCCGCATGGGAGTTTAAGAACTTGCGCCGATCCATGTTCCGTCTCAACCCCGACAGCAAGAGCAAATTCCCCTTCTTCAAGGACATCTACTCCAACAAATTCCTTTTCTGGGCCGTCATCATCGGCGCTCTCTCTGTCTTCCCTGTCATCTACATCCCGACTCTCAACACCACCCTTTTCAAGCACATTGGAATTACCTGGGAATGGGGTATCGTCGTCGGGTTCACTCTCCTCTATGTCGTTGGCGTCGAGGCTTGGAAGTTCGTCAAGCGCACCTTCAACCTCCTCGACGACCACCAGGTTGTCAAGGGCGCCTTCAGCCAGGGTGGCGAGGATGAGGGCCGCGACTTCAAGAAGACTATCACCTTCAGCTCTTTCAAGAGCTGGCATTCCTTTGGCCGCAAGGACACCGGCGAATCGACCGGCCGCCGCAGCCGGTCCCAGCACCGCACCAACACCAATCTCTCGGGCGACACCCGCACCGGCGAGGGATCTCCCAGCAACAGCAACGAGAAGGTCTGAGTTGTCTGATACATCATCCGAAACAGCATTGTCGAATTCGTCGTTTTGTGTTCTTTTGCCATTTTACGCAAAAAGAAGAGTAATTGATACCACTATCACGAAGAGGATTCCGTTTGCATAAACGCATCGTAGCTATAAGCTAGATCCACGCCATGACTTTTTTGACGGCCGAGTCTCAGAGAGGAAAGGCAATTAGGCATGCCGAGAGATAGGTGGAGGTTGAGTTGAGATGACCGCTTAAGCGGCTTATCTGCTCCATGAAGAATACGGATTTGCATTAAGATGGAACAAAAGGGATTCATTGTCTTGTCAATTAATAGGATGTGCTTAATAATGACCTTTTACCATGTCAACATTGTCTGATCATTAATCGTGGCTGATGTGGCTGTCCACTAGCCAGATCCCATATCTTGTGCTGTTGCGTAGGTCTGTATTCTAGACTTGTGACTTCAAATCACTTTGGAAAGAACATGATGATTGAACATATGTTGAATTATTTTTTCACTTCATCTTAGTAAAAAAGATGTCACTGTGTATTTTTCGGCATTGTTGGAACCCGGCCTGAGACTAAAAGTACCATCTAGAGTTAACGTAGTACACGCCCATATCTATAGTAGCGTCTCCTATTGTCATTGAGATTCAACTATCCGTCAGCTTTTTCCATGCACAACCTAGCCATGCTTACAATGATGTGGCAGACACTTCATCTAGACGATCTCAGGATGTCTATTGTTAAAGGCAAGCCGATAAATTCCGCTTCGGAGCAACGGCTTATGTTCTGCGTTGGGATATATGCATGAATTAACAGAGACGTTGAGAAGATCATTGTATGCAGTGACGGACCATACGCTTGGAGTCGATTACTATCAACGACCAAGAATCCATAACTACCATCACTGACTATGAAGCCTGAATTTGACAAATTTTCTTAAACAAAGCTTAGTTTGGAGAACTATCGTTCAGCGAGCCATTTACTACGTCTTTGAGCAAACTCGCACCGGTTGTCTTCATCCTTCATAAGGATCTGTCATCAGGATAGAAAGAAAGGGCAAGGGGAATGATAAAATATGGGTAGACAGAATCGGTGAGTACTCGAAATCCAGGCAAAACTCCCCATTCGCATTTGATGGAACGTTTTCGTTTCCTATTATTGAAAACCCTCAGATCACATGGGAGAAGTGGCAAGTGATGTTGGGTGTCGGTGGTTGTTGGGTTTCTTGCGGGTAATATTGGGGATGTCCGGCTTTGCCTTGCAGATTGAGGCTGAAAGAGCAGTCCTTCCATGTTCCGACTCCATTGCTGAGATGAGATCGCGGAATCTTTTTCGATGAACTTGCCAACTCTGACTGCACACACATGTGCCAACTGTGTTCGGGTTATCCGCGGTCAGTGATCTTGGTCAGCCTGCAGGCCCCGTCATCCCGAAACACCGGGTCCCGCCGAATGTCGCTTAACCATCACCGCAGCATCTAGTCAATGGAGCCGCTAGCCTGGTGTTCAGCTCCAACAATCCGCGCAGAATCATTCTACAATAGGAAGCTGGCGGGGTCGAGAGGGTCGCCTACCCAGTTCCGTTCAGGGTATATAAGTCCACACTGATTGCCAATTTGACTCTGTCGGTCGATAAAGAACCGCGCCAGCTTTTCCTTTTGGCAACAAACCAACCATATCGCAAGATGTCCACGACAGACTCCCTGCACATCCCCTCCTCGACCTCCTCGGTCCAAGTGTCCATTATCGACACGACCCTCGATGGCGAACTCCCCACGGCGCCCTTCATGGGCCCTGCCATCAAGGGCTTCGAGAAATGGCACGGTGTCGGGTATGCCTTCTTGGTGACCCACACAGACTCGGAGGGGAACGAGCGACGTGTAGTGTTCGATCTCGGGCTGCCGAAGGACTGGGAGCATGACTTCTCGCCGCCCGTCATTGAAATGGGTAAGAATATGGACGCAACCATGACGGCGCAGAAATATGTTTCGGAGATTCTGACGGAGAATGGTGTTGATTTGGGGGGCATCGAAGCCCTGTTCTGGAGGTAGGGAGCTCCGATTGGCGGTGAATAGTCGATCAGCCATCATGCTCACATCCACAGCCACGCCCATCCAGATCACATCGGCCGCCCATCTCTCTTCCCGCCTTCCACATCCCTCGTGGTCGGTCCCGGCGTCAAGCAAGCCTACTTCCCCGGCTGGCCAACCGTCCCAGACGCCCCAATCCTCGCCCGCGAGTTTGAGGGTCGCGAGGTCCGGGAACTCGACTTCGGTACCACGGACCTCGAGATTGGCGGCCTGAAAGCCCTCGACTACTTCGGCGACGGCAGCTTCTACCTCCTCTCGGCACCGGGCCACGCCGTGGGCCACATCAATGCCCTGGCCCGCACGGCGGGGGACAGCTTCATATACTTTGCGGGTGACTCTTTCCATCACAGCTCCCTTTTGCGACCGCACGCCGGCGCGAGATTGCCCGACGAAGTGCGTCTGCCGGGACTGTGCTGCGCGGGCCGGACGTTCCACGCGATCCACCCCGTGGCGGGCAACGCGGCGGAGTTGAAGCATTACAGCAAGGTCATGGGACCGGCGGGCGGCGACGCGGACGGTATCGCGTTCCACACGATTTCCGAGACCCCAGAGGGAGAGACGTTGTTGGCACTGGATGTGCGCGAGGCGCGGGAGACGCTAGCTGCGGTGAAGAAATTCGATGCGAGCGCGGATGTGTTTGTCGTGGCGGCGCACGATGACAGTTTATACGGGGTCATGGAATACTTCCCCAAGGGTGCCAACGAATGGAAGCAGAAGGGGTGGAAGGAGAGCGGGAAGTGGTTGTTTTTGAAGGACTTTGAGAAACCGCTCGAGATTGCCGGTGCGTCTGTATGAAGGCGCGGAAAGCAGATGACTTGCGCGTCACCAAGGAGGGACGAAATAATTCAAATCGTATGTGCTGAATGAAAACTTTGTGAGAAACTCCAGCAACCTACCTCAGCATCGGAAATCCTGCCTGGCGTGAGGAAGGATGTTTTGAAGACACCACTTGTGCTTCATAGTCTCTCGAGGCATTCTGAGCGATTTTGAAAGAGGTTCATATATTCCACCATAGATAGCATGGCTGATGTCCATTCAATGCCCACCGATTTTAGTGTTGTATCAGATGGAGAGGTCGGAGGCGACGAACTCCGTGTGCTTATTTGATCTTATATTCAGTCTATCAACGTTCACTGCTTCTTAAACATTTTGTCTATCATCTCCACCCCCACCGGCCCCATCGGAACGGTCGGCCCAGTAAGTTGTAGCCGGTTACTCGGCACCGTCTTGTTTCGCCTTTGTAGAATACCCTAGATTAATAAGACTTAGATTAAGTAAACCGATTTCTCTACTGAGCTTTCTTTGTTGAATATTACTTTATATGAAACTTGCGCATACGATCAATGGCGGAACCCCTTTTATTAACCATTCTTCCTCAGAAGCCGATACAAACGAGAGCTTCGGACAGGTTGGGAAAGTGATGGAGCTATGAATGTTCGACGCAACGCCGAGTCATTCTTTCACTGTAGCCAAAATTCCGGGGAAAACTGGACTTCATTCAGCCTGGTCGGAAGCCGCGGAGTTCACAGCATTCCTGTTTTGAGGCTTAACGCTTGGTTAGCTATAGGCATCGCATCAGGTGTTGTCTATTATTATCACGGCGATCTTGAATAATATCGTAGATGATGATATATGCCTCTGAACTTAGATGGTTGTTAAAATGACGCCCGCTGCCTCGGTTTGCTCCCCTCAATAAAGAATACCCTTCAACCAACGTTATAGCAATTGTCCCATAAAAGCCTGTCCAACACAGCTCTATTGACAGTCTGGACACTATTACAATCGACAACATGAAGATGCAGATTACTTTTATTCTCTCGGCTCTGTTGGCCACTGTCGCTGCCTGTAAGCGAGCTAGGAACACTATTTCAATTCGGTTCCGTACTGACACTCTAACTCGTGAAAGCACCGGCTCCTGCAGCTCCTGGCATCACTCTTTATCCCATCAGTAAGCAATATTTTGACCCTCCTGGGTCTTCATAGTGCTCAACGCTGACACACATTGATTCTCTTGTAGATCCCAATGAGGTTTCTTCTGAATGCTTCCCGCTCGATCGTAAGTGTACTCCGCACCTCTTCGTAACACTAGTCGCTTCACTGCACGAGAGAAGAAAAAGGAGAGGAAGAAAAAAAGGGTTCTGGCTCGGTGTTGACATCTGAATAGATGGCTGTCAGGCCGGAAACGACTGTTGCTCTGGGTTTTGCGGCGAGGGACCTTCAGGAACGGGCAACCCTATTTGTGTTACGAGCCTCTGATTTGGGATGTTGGAAAGTGACAATTGTGAGGCAACAGGAGATTGGAGGCGTGGGCCAGTATCACCCACACTCGGCAAGCCTATTTCAACTTGCTGCTGGCTAGCCAAGAAGACTTGCTTTCTCCATGCAAAAAAACTCAACAACTAGCAATTATCAACACTTGAATTGATCGTTGCTATCACTTGTACGAGTATCCAACCGCCCGTTAAACCAACATGGGGACGAGATAGAGCGATTGAGGTTTGAAATCCCGAAATGCAACTTGGATATTAACGGTTCATACGTGGATGTTTGTGGATATGGACATAGTCCAGATTTACAGCCTGCCCTGGCAAGTCCTCCACCGTTGCTCCTAACTAAGATCACCTGCACGACTATGCAAATAACCTCTATTTAATACACGAACCAAAACAAAGTGCTTTCTTTGCTCTAGTATAGATCGTTTAAGTAAGGTACAAAAGTGTTTGCCGCCCCCGGTGACCGAAATGGAAATCACCTGGATGCTCGGGGTCTGCTACCTGGGTGCCGTTCTGGACTGTGATGGCCAGCTCTGCCGGCGGCACGTACCCGACGAGACTCGGGGCGCGCTTCTTCTTTTGCGGCATAACGTTGGTGCCATTGAGGTGAGTATTGCGCTTCAGCATTAGCACCCGAACATCAGCGAGGAGTGCACCGTATTCAGACAGGGAAGTGGATTCGCCTCGGACAAAACGGGCGCAGCGTCAGCTACCTCGGACGGGACCGTGTAGGACTCCCTGGTAGATGTGCTTCCGTTCGTGGCTCTTCAGAAAACGGTACCGTTGGCGTGCTGTTAAAAAACTTCCCATGTAGTCCAATGGCTGCGTCTTTGTTCTCTTGCGCTGACGTATCGTCGAGTTCTGAACCCGAACACTGCTATGGAAGGCCTGCTAAGTTTCTCGCGGGCTGCTGCCGCTGTACCAGACTGGAAGGGCAAAAGTTGATGACCCCTCGGCTACAGCTGTTTCATGCTCAGCCCAAGCCTCGCGACGCATTGTCTCGGATCGGGTGCGGTAAGCTGTCTTTTGTTCCTCGGACAGGACAGACCACCCAGGCTCGACTCCGTGGCCTGACATACCCGCTTCGTTGGCGAAGAGGATGATTGGACTGCGCATTCTGGATATGGGAGGCCAGGGGCCAGATCCGAAGCGGTCGGCGCGCGAGGGAGGAGGTGTCGCGGGCCATGGTGATGGGAAGCCGTTGGGAGAAAATAACGATGGAACCTGGGAAGAAGCTCGTAGGGCAGCGAGGTATTCGCTGTTCCGAGCGGCCACCTCTTCGTCGGTAACGTTGCCGAGCCGGTGCTGCTCATGGAGAGCTGTCATAGCGCTGATGATGTCGCTAGGCTGTTGTCTCTGCTCTAGTTGGCTCTGCGCCGCACGAAATCCTGGTCCTGGCATGGGAAACGACTGTCCAGGACCAGGACCAAGGAACGACGGTGCCATCTGTCGCATTGGGTGCATCTGGCCCACTTGACGCATCAAAGCAGCATGAAAAACAGAGAATTCCAGTCCCAACCTGCTTGACAGTAGCTCAGCGGCCTGCGCGACCCCGAGCTGGCCGAGAGCCTGCGATATGGCTACATCGGAGAATGTTGCGTCGTCCATGGCGTGGAATCGGCGCGCCAGCAACGCAACCTCCTCGTCGTTCAGCATCGTGCTGAACTGGCCACGATTCAGTGCATCCTTCCCCTTCGCGTAAAGCTCATTTGGCGTGCTTAAACGTCCGCCCGTCGCGCGTTGGATGCTGGCGCGTACCACGCCCGGCCGCGGCCAGAGGAGAGCCTGGTGCATCTCGTCTGTTGTGAGGGAGTCGGGGCGAGCGAGCGCCTTGCCCACGACGTCGCCGCGGCCGAGGAGTAGCTGCCGCTCTTCGTCTGTGAGCTGGTCTTGCTGGTTCTGCGCTTTGATATACAGAGCCCTTGGGATGGCGTCGCTGTGGACTGATTGCGCGTTTCGTTGCCATATGGACCGCTCGATGGTCGCGTGTAGAGCTGCATCAGCGCGCCGCATGGCCTCGGCCCCTTCTTCTGTATCAGGATCTCCATCGACGTCAGGCCAGTCCTCCTCCCTGGCTCCAAGGGATCCAAAGTTGGGGTCCAGACTACGTGATTCCGCCATTTTGAATGGAAGTGACTGTTACTTGTGAGTGAAAATTTATCGCAAGCGGGATTAAGATCCCATCAATCAATATTGACTTACAGAGGAACAGGGATTTGACTAAGCAAAAGGCCCTTTTAACCGTAACCCTTTTCAGCCAGTTGCAGGCTTGTGTCAGCAGTAATCAAGTGTATTATGCGATGATACAGCCTATCTATCTACAACTGCTGCTGCATATGAACTCAACAGCTATTATGTAGGTCATCGGAGTGAAGTGAAGTAGGTCCAAGTAGTCAAGCTAAGTTTTTGTACTCCGATGTCAATTGACAGCCGAACTGATCTGAAACGTCACCTTTTGGATAACTTTCATCAAACACAATTCTCCATCAACCTCGCAGTCGTTCACAAGAGACAAGTCAAGGGGAGTGCCATACCATATAGCGTTCAATAAGTTCTCTTGTTGGCCCAATAGCCCATCAAGTTTCACATTCTCTGTTGAAGCCCCCTTTCATGCTGAAATTACATGACATAACCTACATGGCACTCGGATTCGGTCGCTCACAGTCCTCCATATCTCGTAGGTCTCCACGGAAGACTCTGACCGCCGCTCAATAGCTTTTTAATCGAAAAAAAATCCAAGACTCACAGCTTTCGGTTGCACTTTTTATTGTAAAAAAATTCAAGGCCGTCAACGGTACCAGTGCTCGGTGTTTGCTCTCCTTGCCGGGTACAAATTACCGTTTCATTGAAGCATTTTAAAATTAAAGTTGAACTTTCGTGGGCTCTTTGTCATAATTACAACATCGGGGTTTATATCCTAACTGTGGTGCTGCTACGAGCAAGGGGGTGTAACTTGATTCAGACGGGTACTTGGTCGTTGGAAGCTCTCCTCAACAAATAGAACTTTGAGCCATCGTAGAATATCCTACTTGAAGATGTAGCCTACCAATCAACGCTTTTGGAAGATGACAGCCAGGCTTGCTGCTAGTCAAAGGACCTTACATATTTGAAATCGGCCACAACTGCCTGGGGGGAAACCAAGACTACGCGCCGACGCAGAGCGAGGAGATTAGAGTCCGACAACAGCTTACCGGCTTACTGGGAGAGAAATGACCATATGGTCTGGAAATTAGCTCTTGTCCCATGAATTGTACGGCAATAAAGCTATCCCAGCCTCGGGCCGAAGTGGCGTCCGTACTGAATCTTCAACTTCCGCCTCGCTAACACAATTTGGGATTCCATACTTCGGACAAAACCAAACTCTAGATCAAAATTCGCCCTGAATTATTTTTTAACTCAATTGTTTATATTTGATATGAGAAATCGAAGGCCAATTTCGTCAACATCCGTCTCGAAGTGTTGCTGTCCCATGAATTCAGCTTGCAACCAGAACATTGGAATACCATGGCTGCCAGAGACATGTACCACAGCGCGATGACCAGTACCACAAACCCAAGAGACGATCGGTACCACGGCCTGTTTGTTCATCGTACTCACGCGGCATTCGGAACAAACAATTACGGATCAAACATAGACATCACACCAGCCGCGGCAAACAAGCTTCAGTATTACCACTTCATTAATGCTACCACGCGAAAAGACTAATTTACAAGCAGTCGTGCTGTAGGGTATTCTAGTTCTTCTCAGCAAGGCCGTTACTCATAACTCTCAAACTCCAAGACTCCAACGCTACTGCTGCAAAGGTTCAACCTCTTGGTTGAATACTGCCAGACGAGACAAAAGTGCTTTACAAGCCGCATGCCAGAGGCATATCCACGCTTAGACCATCGCGTCGGGGTGGCGCGACCCGGAGCCGACGGGCTTGCGGGAGCCGACGGGCTCGCCGTAGTCGTTGACGCCAGCACCGTGGACGCCGCCGCCATGCATGCCAGTGGTGGCGCCGTGGCCGTGGCCGTGGTGCTTCTCGCCGCCGTGCATGAGGCCGCCGGCGCCGCGTTTGCCCCAGCCCGCCTTGCGGGTGAAGACGGCATCGTACAGCTCGGCATCGGCGCCGTAGGTGAAGGCCTGGCCGCGGTTCAGGGGAATGTGGTTGTAGCGGAAGTCCCAGACGGCGGCGTAGGTCATGCGGTATGCGGAGAAGGCGAAGACGATGCCGATGGCGGCGCCGGCAAAGACGTCGTACCAGTTGTGGAACTCGTCAATGGTGAGGGCGCCCCCGATGAGGACGGCGCCGAGGATGGGGATGTAGGTGATGATGAGCTTCCACATGGCCGGGTGGTAGTCGGAGAAGACCTTGAACTTTGCGTTGAGGTAGAGGTAGAGGTACCCCAGGCCGGCGAAGGCGGCGGTGGTGTGGCCGCTGGGGAAGCTCTCGAGCGAGTCGTTGATCTCCTTGATGTCGCCGGTGCACACCTCCTTGGTGACGTACAGGGACTGGAAGCCGGCGGCGCTGTAGCCGGCGCGGGCGATGCCGCCCTGGCTGACGGTGACGCGCGACAGGTCGGGCTGGCAGGCCTCGAGGAAGTGGGGGCGCAGGCCGCCGATGAGGAACTTGAGGAAGACCTGGAAGACGGCGGCGCAGATGAGGGAGTAAAGCAGGCCGATGACGGCGTTGTTGACGTCCCAGAAGGAGCGGATGCGGATCTGCATGAGGAGGATGATGCAGATGGGGATGACGGAGGCGAGGAAGGCGGCGAGCCAGATGGGGATGATCTCGTTGCGCAGGGGGTAGGCGAACTGCGGGTAGACGACCTCACCGTCGGCGAAGGTGACGGCGAAGGAGCGGTTCGGGGCGGGAGGGGCCATGTAGATCTGGGTGTCTGCGTTAGTGGTGCTGTTGCGAGCGGGTGTTTTATTTGAGAGTGTCACTCACACCGAGGCCGATGGCACCCATGCAAATCATGGTGATGATGTCGATCAGCGTTCCCTTGAGCCACTGTCCAAAGGTAGGGCGGCGAGCCATGGTGTAGGGCTCGGCGGTGCGACGCTTGTTGGCAACGCCGTGGTGACCGTTGGCATGACCGTTGGCGGGAGCCGCAGCCGCCTCGCGACGTTTTCCAAAGATGCCCATGGTGATGTTGTTTCTGCGATACTGGGATGGTGTCAGGTGTAGTTGGACTAAGACTCGCGGGAGAAAACGCCAAGACGGGATGGCTGTGCTTGTGCCTCGCCGGGAGCTGCAAGACGTTTCTTGGCGAGCTTGTGTTGGATGGAAGGGGTGGCTTGAACTACAAGAGACCGAGAGGAACGGCAAAAGGGGAGGACAGCGTCGATTTTAAGCTTAAGGAATAAGGTAGGATGGTGCTTGGACCAGGCCGTCAGGCCGTCCGCAATGCGGGTAGGGAAGGAAGCTTTCCATGCTTGACGTCATGTTTGTTTAATCCCGTAATTGGGGACCATCGTCGATTTGGGACGAGAAAGGGTCGTCTGGGAGGGAGATGGATCGAGAGAGGGGGGACGGGGACGCAGCGCGAACGCACGAATGCGCAAGCCAGGCAAGACAGAGTCAACAACGCTCTCTTGCAGCAGCAAAAAAGTGGACATGCCATATGTCATTCCAGCCGTGCTTCATTTCAGGCTTTTTTTCTGCTAGGGGCGTTTCGATGAGCGGCTAGACGACCGGGACGAGTGTCAAGACATGGTTCACTGTCAGCTCCGAGGGGGGCGCCCTTTTGCGAGGGAGTCGCGCCAGGCCCAGTCCAGTTCCTGTTACACACTAAAACCCCGGATTGTGGCTAGTGATTCGACGCTTTTCGACGTGGGCGACCGTGGAAAGGCGAGCCGGTGCGGTCATGGTGTGTGGTGGTGCAGGACGAGAAAAGCGTGGCAGCCATCCCTGTTTGTCGACCATACTCATCAAAAAAAAAGGTCAAGCCACTCTTCGAGTGCGACAGAAACAACAGAACGACAGACCGACGTCATCCCGCCTCCAACGCGTGGGCACCGGGTCCGTTCCCGTCGCTCGAAACCCCTGTCGCCGGCACTCCAGATCCGAGTTGTCCAATCATGGCCCCGGGGCGCCAAGAGATTTGGGAAAGGCCTGGACTTGAATGATGCCACAGGTGTGCAAGCCACGCCATACAAGATTTGAGGCGTCAACACTGCAGTCTCCCTGGCCGAGGATTTTATCGGGTGTCCGCACAGGGGCGCATGTTGTTCCAAAAGGACCTTTCAGAGAAGAGTCGCCGATCGCGACCCGTCCTGCAGCCTGTCGCTATCTGTTGGCCCGGTGGGCCCTTGGGATGTCATTGTTGTCCCGCTGCAAAACAAACTACAGGTACGGCTGGGTTTCTGGTTTTCTTGTTGTCTTGTCGGATGAATGCCATAGCAGAGACCCTAACCAACAATCTGGGGCCTGGGCAGGCAAGCATACATAATACAGTTTCAGGACAATTTGCTCCGGGGCGTAACGCGGTGGCGGCGGGAGAGGGTGTTATTGTCCAACGTTGCGTTTCGCGAAAAGAACTCTGATGACCTGACCGCATTCTTCCCCTGCGATCCTCGAAGTACAGTTACACAATGCATATCTTTTCGGGCGCACCAAAACTTTCAACGCCAATAGAACTGGGTTGCTGAAACGCGTCTAGTGCTGAAGGATATTGCTTCGCTGTACCTGGATGTGGTCACTAAGTAATTAGGTACCATGTGCTGAGCCAGGGATCTCATACCGTCTCCCATGGAAAAGAGACGTCGCCCGAGCCAATCTCCCTCGCTTATTAGACGAGACGGCGTTCCACAACCAGGAAGCAGCTTGGCTGATCCGGTCTCGTCTCTTCAATCCTGGGTCCCTGAGGCCTGGCAGCACGCAGTACCTAGGTAGTCTGTTTTGACCCGGGACTGGGGCAGACGTTGGTTGATTCGCGCGTGCCAAGGCCGCACTATCTCACTTGCGAGTGGCTTGTATTGACAGTCTGCGGTGTCGTCCAAGTGCTTGAACAGCGCGACACATTGAATGTCCGAGATACAGTACGACTCCCTATTGCAATACAAAAGAAAGGACCAATTATGTGACACATCGTACGTGATGTGCAAAGGTGAAGTCTTTGAAAGATGGGATCGTTACGGCGGGCGTAACCGACGTCATTCTACACACTTAAAATATTAAACACCCCATGTCAAGGCCCACCAGATCCGATCATTGCCAATCAACATCATCCCATCTCACCATGCCATTCGGGCGCACACTGCTAGGAAATCACAGTCCCTAGCCCCCTATAATGTTCGTAGACGCCGGTCTGTTCCAGACTCGCTCACTCACGTACTGATCGCCGAACCTCTGGTCAGATGCCACCACCATCCCGCGCCACAATCACGATTCCACCTGCTGCGCCATGGCTCGCCTGGCTAAGGCGGCACGAGCCCGGCCATCCCCCGTGAGGGCGCGCAGTTGGTCGCGGTCTTGGCCCGCCAGGGAGATCGGCGCCGGTTGGAACTTGGTCCGTCCACACACGCAAGTGGGAGGGATAGAAAACCACCCCAAAGGAGACGATCCGGTCTGGGAAACACGGCCGCGTGCCTATGGAGTCTGCTGCTGGGAATCGACGCTGGGATTAGCAGTTTTCTCCACCGCATTGCGCGGCTTCGTGAGATGATCCTTACGCCTCGCACCCAAATTCATCTCCGGGCATGTCAGTTTTGCATCACCGGTCGAGCAGCAGCAACAGGCGCGGCTACAGGTTCGCGACAAATAGATCATCTCGGATTCACGATTGCATCAATGTCGATACCAAAGTCCCTAAGCATTTGTTTGTTTTTTTCCTGGTTGGAGAGTCTTGCTGTATTCCGCCCTCCTCCTAAACGCCAAGCCTATGAATAAGAGGGCTCCGAATGTGGTCCCGCCCCGGCGACTCCAGTTACTGTCATGTCTTCATCCATATCTCTCTCTCTCTCCTTCGCTCCACTTTCAGTCGCCTCGTCGATGCAACATCATTTGTACGGATATTTTCTTTGACATCACCCCCCTCCGCCAGGAAACAAAACATGGAACAACAACCCCGTCAAACCTAACCTCGTCGTGCTCGGCCACCACCCGGCGCGCCAGGCATGCCGGGCATGCCGCCCATGCCGCCCATACCCATCTGCCGCATCATCGCCGACATGTCGGGCATTCCGCCGCCACCGCCCATGCCGCCGGCGCCGCCAAGCATCTTCATGAGGCTGCCCATGTCCGGCATGCCGCCGCCAGCCCCGGCGCCGCCCATGCTCTGCAACCGCTTCTGCATGGCCGCCAGCTGCTGCGCCTTGTTTCCTCCGGCCATGGCCGACTGCGCGCGCTGCATGTTCTTCATGTTGCCGCCCATCTTCTTGGCCATGCCGGCCATCATCCGCTGCTGCGTCAGCAGGTCCTCGACCTCGCGCACCGACGTGCCCGATCCGTGGGCCACTCTCGTCATCCGCGTCGGCTGCTCGATGAACATCTTGCCGTCCGAGTCGAGCTCCTTCTCCGTCATCGAGTCGCAAATGTAAATCATGCGCTTGAGCTTGGCGCTGCCCTCCTCGTCGTCCATGCCCTGCATCATGCCGCTCATGCCCGGAATCATTCCGGCCATCTTGGATAGCGGGCCCATCTTCATAATGTTGGAGAGCTGGTCCCGCAAGTCGCGCACCGTGAAGATTCCCTCCGTGATGTGCTTTATTGTGTCCTTCTGGTCCAGCTTCAGACTCTGCACGTGCTCCACGAGCCCGGCCATGTCGCCCATTCCCAGCAGTTTCGACACAAACTGTTGCGGCGCGAAACGCTCAAAGTCGAGCATGTGCTCACCCGTGCCGATGAAGACAATGGGCGTATGTGTTGCTGCGACGGCAGAGATGGCGCCACCGCCGGAGGCGTGGCCGTCCGTCTTGGTGATGATGATGGCTCCAAAGTCCGCCGCCTCCTTGAAGGCCTTGGCCTGCGACTCGGCCTGCTGACCGATGGATGCGTCGAGCACCATGATGGTCTCGTCAGGCCGGATTGCCGTCTGAATGTCCACCATTTCCTGGAACAGTGCCTCCTCTTGCCTGTGTCTACCCGACGTGTCCACGATGATGATCTCGAACTTTTCCTTCTTGAACTTTTCCACACCTTCTCTCGCCACGACGGCGGGGTCCGTCTCCGTCAACGAGCCGTAGTAGGGGATTTTGGCCTTGGTCGCGTTCTGCTTCAGCTGGTCAAAGGCACCGGCACGGAAGGTATCGGCGCACACCAGACAGGCCTTGAAACCTCGCGCCTGGTAGTGTCGTGCGAGCTTGGTACACGTCGTCGTCTTACCGGCACCCTGCAGACCGACAAACATGATAATGTTGGACTTGCCCTTCTTCGGCTTGAAGGGCTCGGCGTGGGGGTCGACGAGCTTGACGAGCTCATCAAAGACGGCTTTCTGAATGAGGCGCTTCTTATTGACGGCGGGCGGGAGCTCCTTGAAGTTGACGGTGCTCTTGATGGACTTTCGCAATTGGCCGACGAGGCGCACGTTGACGTCTGCTTCGAGCAGAGCGGCGCAAATCTCCTTGAGCATGCCATCGAAAGCCTGCAACGCGGGTGAGAAGTCAGTAGCTGTGCCTCTCTGCCAACGGTGGCGATGCGACGAGGGTTCTGCGGGGTAGAGTAGAGTAGGGGGGAATGAGGGCGCGCACCTTTTCGTCGAGATTGGGCTCCCTGGTGAGATTCGAGACGGCCGTGTTGATGCGACGGCCAAGATCTTGAAGAACCATGGTGGGCGGTTTGCGGCTGTCGAGCCGACTTGGGGTGTATGGCGGGGAGGTTCTGTTGGTGATGCTCTCAGGCTGGCGACGTGTTGCAAATGGGAATTTGGCCTCGGAGGTGGCATGTGGATTGATTGCTGCGCTACCAGTGCGCCACCAGGCTGGAATCCGTGCCTCTGACTGGCGAGTCTGCGGTGTGGAGTTTGCGGTCCGCGGGACATCGGATGCACCGTTTCTCCAGACCTCGAGGTACGTACTCGGTGTACGGTTTTTAGTGAACCGCACTATGCATTTGGCACTGTAAGAATATCAACCCCTGATCGTCGACATTCCGACTTTTGCTCGATGGGCTAAGATATTTTTGAACAGAAGCATGATGCAAGCATAGCTGCGTATTAGGTGATGTGTCCCAAAGTAGATGTTTGTCTTTGTGTCGTGAGAACTTATATATATCTACTATAGCACCGCCGTGATACCACCCCTCGTTTGTATCGTTTCTCACATCAAGATTTTGCCTGGATTGCTTTTAATCGGCCCCTCTTGATGACATTTACCCGTGTTCTTCGTCTGACAGGCTTTCGACCCCCGAATAGCAGTCCTCGACCCGTTACCTCGTGATGTATCCTAGCAACGGCCCAAGGGTATCATTTATTCTTCTGTTTGGCCACGAATCGGGCTTTCACACCCGTAAGCATGGCCATAAAGTAATAGTGTATTTCTTCCTCCGGGGCATGACAACCTCCACGTCAAAGTGCTCCAGCAGGGCCGGTATCGTCTTGTAGACCACCAACTCGGCAAGGTGTCTCCCGGGACACATTCTTCCGCCCCCTCCCCAGGTGAGGTTGAACCGCTCCATGGACTTGAGGTTTCTGTCTGCGTCCAACCAGCGCTCCGGATTGTATCCTTCCGCATCCTCTCCGAAAATTGCCGTGTTCCTGTGCAAGGACACGGGGTTGCATCCAACGGTCGTCCCCGGAGGGAACATTTGCCCACCGACGGCAAACCCTTCAGGGGGTACCGTGCGGGGCAACGCCATCCCGAGAACGGGGTACAGCCGTTGGGCCTCCTTGATGGCGGCTTGGGTGTAGCTCAACCGCACGGCGTGGTCGTAGACCTTCGGGTCTTCGGTCGCGGAGCGCACCTCGTTGGCGGCACGGCGCTGTACCTCGGGGTGGGAGCCGATCATGGCCATGATGGACGTCAGCGCCGAGCACATGGTCTCGTGCCCAGCGCCAAAGTTGGTGATGGCCATGCGACGGAGGTACGTCTCCGAAAAGTCGGGCTTGTCCTTGTGCAGCTGGATGAGGTCCGTGAGGAAGTCGTCCTTGCGGTCGTTTTTCGAGATCGGCTTGCCAGCCAGGGCGGACGTGACCCGTCGCGAAACTTGTCTGTAGACGCCCGTGAAGAAGGGCTTGAAGTTCTTGGGCGTCTTGTACGTTACGCGCCAGAGGTTGGCAAATGTCCTCCCGAATGTTTTCGAGAGCAGCTCCAATTTGACGGCGAGAGGAAAGAGTCCAAAGATGGATTTGCGGCGCCAGCCCATGTAACCATGGCTGCTGGACGAGTGATCTGTCTTGTCACGGAGGTAGTTGGGCGACCAGGTGAGGACGACGGCTGAGAGAGACTCGACCGCGATGATGTGCATCCATTCCTTGAGGTCGATCTCGGCACCGTCAAGCGAACGAAGCGTGGCGATTACCCTTCCTAATACGGCATCAAGTGCTGGTTCGTGACGTTTCAGATAGCTGGTTTGGTACAGAGGTCCTACTAGACGACGTTGCAGGCGGTAGCGCTGCGTGTTGCGTTCCGAGAGCAAGTCAAGGGTATCGGGAGATGTAAAGGTTGGCAGAGGGGTGTAAGTAATGTCTGGTCTTTGCAACGCAGTGGACACTGGAAGATCGCGGTGAGTTGATTGTAATCAAGGTGTCTGGGAATGGTAGAAAACGCACGGTAAAAGTCTGACTTGTCGTAGCCACTACCAGCACCTGTCATAGGTGAGCACTTCCTTCACTAATCTGGCAAGTGACGAGTTTTTTGGTGGACATACGGTAAATGTGCTTGAATGCATCTACAGAATCAAACCAAACCTCATTCGGCCCGACGCGCACAGCCGGACCATACCGCTTATGCAGTGACTTGCCCAACCTGAGCATCCGTCCGTTGCGGACCTGACAAGCGTACCAGACATTCGAAATGGCAGCCAGCCGGGGGCCGGGGACGCGGGCAAGGGGGTGGAAGAGCAGACGGTACCCGATGACGCCGAGCGTGACGAGAATAAGCGACAATGACGTGAGTAACACCGAGTTGCGAAGAAAGATTACTGCGCCGTGAAATCCGAAAGGCAGGCTGTGTACCCCGAGTGCCGGGGAAGGCATCGCCACGCCGGCGCCACGGGTGGAAGCGCGCGAGACGGAAGGGAAGGCAGGTATGTGGGTAAAGTATGCGTATGAGAGTGAGTGGGTGAGTGAGTACCTCACTGAGACCGAATGAGAATGAGCGAGTGCGTGATGTGGCGGTTGAGGCTTTGCCTGCGCCGTGGAAAAAATTGGTTGCGGGCGGCTTTGCTGCAGCGTGCGCACACGCGCGTCGGACCGGCCCCACAGGCCGGAACGGGGAATCGAATAGGGGGCTCAGCCAATTGGCTTTCGGGCATGATGCCCTGGAGTTTCCAATGATGCTTGACGCTGTAGGCCCGCTTGAAGGGCCCACTGAAGGGCAGAATGTCGTAGGTGTAGGGGAAAGCTTGCGTAGTGCGGCTGAAATGCTGTAAGACTCTCTCATGCATTGTCTCAGGGTTGGACCCCGCTCTTTCGCTGCTGTGGAAAGCTGTGAAAGCTTGACGGGTTGCATATGGGTTGTCTCCGCCTCCGGATGTCGAGTCTTTACACTTTTCAGCCAAGTACCAAGTGTAGGCAATAATGAGATTTTAGCTCAGCCTCTCTGCTTTGTCCCTGTGCTATTTCTTTTCCTTCCTGGTTCCCTCTCTGACTGTCAATTAGTAGTTGGTTATACATGTAAATTGAAGGGAGACAGTCTGAAGTTCAGCTGCCAAGTCCCAAGTTTTCAGTGCGGCGACGATCCTGCCAGCACCTTGGATCGAATATTTGCTACTAGTAACTCAAGCGTGCTGATGTCTAGAAATATGGCATCTGATCGGGTACTGCAGGCTTTACCGGTTCACTTGCTATACTAATTCGTCTCTACTACTACTGAGAACCTAAGAGGGATAGGTTATTCTCATTCGAGTTCGCCAGGTTTAAGTGTTTTATAGCTTAGCCAAACCAGAGTGGATAACTTATGGCACTTAAAACGCATACTGTTCGCGCTGTGGATGTTTGGTGGACTAATATTTCTTTTAAGATGACTTGGTTGCGGAGAATGATAAGGACCATTAGAACGGAGCTCGACTTCCGCAGACAGTTGCATCATATTCTTGACATGACGCTAGTCCTGGCTGCGACAATAAACACTAATATGTGGTAGAGTACAGAATCATCTTGAATAAGTTGAAACCCTTTACGGACCTCCCGCTTGGAATAAAGAATCGTGGAGACAAAACATCGCACACGAAGTACAGTGGCCAGCTGAAAACTCGTTATCAAAGAGAAAACTGCAAATCTGGATACCAATGGACGGAGAATGGCTCAGCTGTCGATCTGACCTGACGACAATGTTCCCTGCAATGATGCGATAGGACTTCACTACTATCTACATCAAACCGAACTAGGAGTTACCGCCAGTTATGCTTCAACCTGTATTAGGCTGATATGTTGTGCGCAGATCGTCGACGCGAACGATTGGCCTGGAAACACCGCATCCCTTGCAGCTGTGCCCACTCCGTACCGCATTTTTAATTATTTTTTACATCTCAGTTGATCAACACCCCCTAGTAGCGACTGAACCAAGTTGATTGTGGTGTACGTCGCCTGTGTCCAAGCTATTGGTTTCATCGACTTTGTGACTGCATAGGTGCCAGGCTTTCTCGTAGCTATTGGATAGGTCTACCAGGGCAGGTCAGTCCCAGTTCGGATGGGATGCTGTCAACTCGCCTCCCCTTTGTATCGAAGATGCTTTCTTTCCAAGAATAGACAGAAGATGCGTACGACTTGATGGGGAACTTACAATAGAGCTGTCCGCGTCATCAGTGCAGGCTCCGTTGTAAGGGGGCAGAGGGGTAATGGCATCTTCGTGGCTGAGAAGGATCCTTCTCTCCTTTGCCTTTAGTCACAGTTATGCAGGGATCTGTCCTCTCTGGATAGCACAAAGCCATTCCGAGAGCCCATGTTGGGAAACCTCGGTCATCGCTGTTCGATCCGTCTTCAATATGCAAGCAATTTAGAGGATAAAGTCGCATTTGAAAAGAATTCATCGAAGCAAGCATTTCCATTGCCTTAGTCCCGAATTCAGTCGACTGATTCGCCCCTGAGTGCTTGCGGGCAGCGGCGCAAGCCTTTCGGAATGTTAACCAGGACCCTAATTCGGGAAGTGGGCGGGCTTGCGTGTCCCCGCCACAAGCGTAGTCTCGGGAGGCTTTGGAGTAAGGGGGCCAAGTTTTGTTACCAGCAAATGATGGCCGTGCGAGACCAGACGTTTCGAAACAAGCGGCTTCCCAAGGCCAACCGTTGCAAAAACTGTCAGAACCGATGAACACCTCCTATATTGAAAATAGACGCGAAGATCAACCCTGGTCTCCCTTGACGGCCTCCTATGGAGCCATCTCACTCAACCTGACACCACCGGCCTTATTAGGACTTGGCCAACAATAGTCGAAGACGGAAAGCCGCGCAAGCGGACATGCCACAGAGTACCTTGTCTATTCAAGCATTGCACTGACCTCCCTCAGGGGAATGGAGCTTCTCGTCGTGATTCTCGAGTGTACTGCCGTGACGGATCGTCTAATGAACCCAGGCTGCCAGAGTTGTGATGGAGCCACAGAGGTTCGAACTGCGGAGCTAAGCTGTGTTGTCGTCAAGTCCCACCATAGCAGACGTGCTAGGCTTCGAACATAGTGTAGGTCGACCCGCCCTCGCCATCGGTGAAGCGTCGAAACAGGTATAAACACGATGGATATCCAACATATCCGGGCTTCTTCCCCTCTCATCACTACACTCATCCCATCTTACTTCTTCAGCAGCTTTCTTCTTTTTACCATCAACCTCTTTTTGATTTACCCCGTACAAAGGTTTTTATCCTTTTTCTTTTGCTTGCCGCATTTTCCCCCGGCTCTTCACTTCGTTAGTCGCCAGGATGCGTTCTAACCTCATTTTCGCCCTTGTCACCGCCATTGCGGCTATCGGCCATGCGGCGCCGGCGCCCCAGGCCTCTGACCCGGTTCCTTCCGGCCTCGCGCCCCCCCCCGCCCCATGGTAGTGGAGCACCCCCGAGCGGCACCCCTCCCCCGCACCCCTCCGGAACTTTCAAGCCTACCGGCCCGCCCCCTAGCGGCACTCCTCCAGCTCAGAATCGCCGCCGCGGCATCATGAACCGTCGCCAAAACTCGGCCCTCCCATCCCCGCCGAGTGGAGCGCCTCCCAGCGGTACTCCCCCTCCTCGCCCAAGCGGCGCACCGCCCTCTGGTGTCCGACCGAACGGTCCTCCTCCCTCTGGAGCACCCCCTTCTGGAGCCCCCCCTAGCGGTGCTCCTGCTCCTACGGCCAACGCTAAGCGTGCTGAACCTTCTGGTGTGAAGCCGTCTGGACCTCCTCCTTCCGGCACTCCTCCCGCAGGTCCTCGCCCCTCGGGTGCTCACCCCTCTGGTCCCCCTCCCTCCGGCGCTCCTCCTTCGGGTGCCCCGCCCAGCGACGGCCCCAAGCCTACCAACGCCAAGCGCGCTGACGATGCTGCTCCCACTGGCGTCAAGCCGACTGGAACCCCTCCTTCCGGTACCCCGCCCTCTGGTACTCCTCCTCCCCGTCCCAGCGGTCCTCCTCCATCCGGTGCGCCTCTAGGCCCTCCGCCTTCTGGAGCCCCCCCTAGCGATGCTCCTGCTCCTACGGCCAACGCTAAGCGTGCTGAGCCTTCTGGTGTGAAGCCTTCTGGACCTCCTCCTTCCGGCACTCCTCCCGCAGGTCCTCGCCCTTCGGGTGCTCTCCCCTCTGGCAGCCCCCCTCCGAAGCCCACTGGAACCCCCACAGGTCCCCCTCCCTCCGGTGCTCCGTCTGCTCTCCCCCAGCAGCAGCGCCGTCAGGAGTCTTCTCGCCCTGCCCCTCCTTCCGGCACTCCTCCTGCCGGACCTCGTCCTACCGGTACTAAGCCTGAGGGTGTTCCTCCCAGCGGCACCCCGCCTCCCAAGCCTACCGGAACCCCCACTGGCCCTCCTCCTTCCGGTGCTCCTCCCGCTCCTCCTCAAAGGGTTTAAACCCAGTTACATAACACTGAAAATCAGCGACAAGACCAAGCCGTCGACCAACCCTCACAGAAACAGCAAGTTCGATACCGCCTTAGGTATGGGTAGTCTTCCCAGGCGACATTGGGCCGCGGTGATTCATCACTGAAACTCGGAGACAGGAAGAAGGAGCTGGATATTAGGAACGAGATTGTTGGACAGCCGAACACAATGCCAGGGTCAGTGTGGCCACCCGGATTTTGCTCTGAAGAGATGGGATGAGATTGTGCAAGCGTTTGTGCCATAGTCTTTTCTTTCACAAAACCCGAGAATAGCAACAACAATGTTATTTGCTTGCTAGCCCCACCTTTTTTCCGTTCCTTACTATGAGCCCATTTGCAAGATTCGGCTTATACTACCTCGAGGCTATTGCATTGTCTTCCGTAGCTCATGTGAGCAGCATCAGAGTAAGAAGGGGATTACTCAACAGTGAACATCTCTCCGTCATTCAGTCGTTTGTCTTCAGCCTAGATGCTGAATATAACGATAGGTTGTAGTGGTTATGAATCTCCAAAGAGGTCCGAGATGAAAGGTGAAATTGACTCTCAGGGGAAGAAAACGCGAGCAGGCAGGGAGTTATTCCGATGCAAATGACGAGGTGTCAGAATCTGTAGTTGTTTCGGCAAAGTGAAGATGGAGCATGGGTGACAACTATCAAGGGTTGGTCCTTCGGGGAAAATAGGTTCCAGATGCCGGAGAAATTGATCCACCCGCTCATTGCGCGGCATTGCCTTCGCACTAATCACGTAAGGGTATGACTCACAGCCGTTCTTTTAAGATAAGAATGGTGCATTACCTATGGCTTCTGCTTCTTCGAAAACCCTTTATGTGCTGCATTGTCGAAAACTACAGAGTTTCCCCAAAGACCACAACATGACCGAAATGACGGACAAGAACGTTTCCGAAGGCTTTCTTATTCATCATGTAAAAAGCGGAGGAGACTTCAAACAATGGGTCCCAGGCCTAGGTCGACTTCTCCAATCATGCGTCAATATTGATCCGGCTTCGTCATCTCTCGGCTTTCGCGTGCCTCTTTCCGAAGCCAAAGCGACGGCATATTGGGAATCACTATCAGCTCAACTGTTCGGAGTGGAACCTGCCACCGCATTGCTCGTTCTTACTCATGCATCGTACCCAGAGTTCAACGTGATTGGGACTGTCCAAATAGCTACTCAGCCAAAAGAGACGCATGCGCACAAGGCAGAAATCAGGAAGTTGTTAGTCGCTGCAGAAGAAAGGGGCCACGGGCTGGGTAAGAAGCTTATGGCCGCAGCCGAGAAATTTGCGTTGGAGGCGTTGGGCAAGACAATGATGTTGCTAGACACTTCGACAGAGGGTCCGGCACGCATATTCTACTTGAAGCTTGGGTACACAGAATGGGGTATCTGCCCAAAATATGCTACGAGTGCCACCGGGGAGCTGCATGCTGTCTCATTCTTCTATAAGGTCTTAGACGCATCCAACTAAGACGGGGGATCAGAAACTGATAGCGGCCAATCGCAGGATTTGGAAGGGCGTAAGCACGGGTCTTAGTTGCTACAGCAGGATAGGATGGTATCCTAGTTTGAATAGAAGTTCAATTCACTCTGCGCCTGGCCTCAATCATAGGACTGCTCATATTTTTAACATTCTTAAAACGAAACTCAATTAGTGGTCAAGAAGTCATGGTGGTATTCAATCAGGCTCCCAGCGAAGGCAGAGTCATAGCATCGACTTAAACCTTTCTCAAAGAGGCCACAATCGACTTTTAATGCGTGGATGAAAGTTGCATCATTTTTGCTTCTTGTTTGCACGTTCAGACTGAGAAATTGGGCAAGAAGGGGCCGCCTGTCGAATGAAGTCTTAATTCATCGCTAGCAGCCGTTTATACAGCGGTCATACACATGTCTGCCTTCTTGCAGACCCGTGGCGAAAGCATGCAAAGAGAATCTTCGGAAAGTAAATCCATATGATTTAGGGATTATGACTGCAAGTGACTGCTGATGCTGCCTTTAATCAAGCTTCTGGATCGACGAGCCCTTGTCCTCCTTGGACTGTGCCGCCTCAACTCTGCTGTGCAAAAGAAGGACCGTATCCTTGTCGCAAAACTCAATGGCCTTCTTCACCTTTGACCCATCTTCATTGAAGTCCAAGAACCAGGCGAACTCAATTAGATGCGCCTCTGAGCCCTCCTTGTACACGATATCCGATGTGGATGTGAACGAGGCCTTGCGAGCCTCGGTGTCAATGACCAGGTTTGAAATGACGCTATTCTGGACAGAATACACTCGGACTTCCTTAGTGATATTCTGCAAGTACATTTCATTATCGATGGTGAAATCCAGTGGGACACCAAAGGCCTTGAGCATGCTGTTTGGGATCATATGACGGGTACAGTCTGAAGTCACGTCGCGATTGATGAGCGAGGGATCTTGTTGACTGTCTGTGTATGCTGCTAAAAAGGATCTTGTTGTTGCCTCGATGACCTTCCTACGCTCTGTCGATGATTGAGTTGAAGCCATGTCTTTGACGATGTTGCGTTATGAAGATAAGTTTCTGAATGCAACGTAGAAGATAAGGTAGAAGTATGGATTACTGAGGAAGTAGTTTTCGGAGTATTTGACTAACTTTTGTGGACCCAGGTCGCTTCTTATAATAAAGTTAATGCGCTGGTGACCTCACATTAGCTGGTGTGGGTAATCTCACGTCAGCTTAGTTTTAACGTCCACAAGGTTGGAAAAGGATTGGAAATTATATCATCCTGCAATGGATGTGCTAGACCTACGGCTAGTGTTGAAGGATGAATGGGACTGCAAGTTTTCCGGATTCAAACTAGTATTGGCTCAATGGGGTTAAACCACCAAAATCCATCCATCAACGAGAGTCTCGGGTAATTCTGGAATTGTGAAAAATTTTTTTGTTGAAGCAATATATAGTGTCGAGACAATGCGATGCGTTCGACATTCTTAAGTAGGGCCTATTCGATCGCGAGCACGATAGTTAATGGTTCAAGGACCGAGTTTGAGACACACACAACTCGCTATGAAGGCGAAAGGGCGAACGCCAAGGGCGCATTACACGCGAGAATGTAAGGCGTCCCACGCTAGGACTTGGAATTGATTTCGACGTCAAACCCTATGCATTCCAGATTTTTCAATTGTTGACAATTCATCATGGGCAGTGTTGTTATGGGTGGTTCGGAGCTTGATGCCGAGGGTGGACCCTCACCAGGATAGAGCGAAGCACGGTCTCGGATAAGCGCCGAGGAGCCTAATGTATGCTCCGTGGTTAAGATTATTATGTTGCCTCATAACCCAGTTTAGGCCGGACTTTTCTCGTCTAAACAACTGCATTTAAAATTCCAGTCACCGCTACAGGCTACGAGGCCTTTCAGAATTGGTTCAGTGGAGCATCAAGGATTCTGGTCTGTTCTAGGCACTGTCCATCAGCCTGGCCGAAACCTGCATAACCTTCGATTGATGCATCAGCTGAACATACCTGCAGGACTTCAGCTTACCGGGGCTGAACATCGGATATCACAATGTCGACTAGCAGCTACAGGGGCTCCTTATCGCCTACCCCGGACCCCTCATCCCAGGCGAGTCATCCTTATCGGCCCCACACTCTCTCAATTACCTCAACGCCATCACATGAAGACTTTGCAAATTGACTGAGACGAAATCTGGCAGTTTCTCAAGGTGACTGAAGCCTCATCGTCGTCTTCGAGCCGCAAGAGGAAACGTCACATCAAGACCGAAGCAGACAACGAAGGTGCAATGCCTCCGCAAGCGGCGGTCAAAGCTCGGTCCGCAAACGCGTCAGTTGCCCAATTTGTTCCCCCACCAACACTCCACCGAATGACGGGCTTACTGACCGAGGTGGTGATATGCAGGTGCAATACGTGTAGAAGACGCAAGGTGAAGTGTTCAGGAGAACAGCCTTGTAGGAATTGTGCGCGAAACAACTTAGACTGCGAGTTTGGCGATGGGCGAAAGCGGTATTCAGAAGCGTAAGCGGGTTCCGAAATCGGACTTCTCCAACTAGCCAACTAACCCATTAACTAGCTACGTCTCAGAGCTGAGGGCAACTTTAACACGATATGAAGATCAAATTAAAGGTAGATAAGGAGTTGAATGTTCTCTAGTTCACCGGACAACTGTGAAGAAGCCGGGTCTAACTTCCAACAGAGCTTGCTAAACAACCACGCCCACACCCCAGCCCCCAGTCAAGGGGTGTGTCAACCGCAGCATCAAATCCTAGTCCGACAGGCATTGCGCCGTTTGAACCAGCCGGCGAAGTGCCGCCTCCGAGCTATGGTTTGTTGATTCAGATAGCAAGCTTATGTGGTTAGAGATTAACGTTCGATGAAACAGCATCTATAGAAAGCGCACCAGGCCCTCTCTTTGAGCAGCGGCTGCGGAGTCTTTTCCATGAAAACAATGGCAAAGATCGAAACTCGCCGGAAAGAGACGCCCCAGAGCATTTGGAGAACGAAGACCCTAGAGATCTTCCCTTTACCCCTGAGTGGACCTCCACAAATGAGTTGATCAAGGGCATTCCTCATCAGGCTTTCCCCAAGGAAGCCGAGTCCAACCGACTGTTAAACTTGTTCAACTCATATATGGGCGTTACGCAACACTTTCTAGATCAACGGACGTTTACAGACAACATGACATTGCTGTTCCAGAGCCAGTCCTCGCGCACCCGACAAATGGACACTCCGTGGTTCACTCTGTACTTGTTGGTAATGGCGATGGGCAAGTTGATGGAAGAAGATCCGCGCGAAGTCCGCGGACCTCCGGGAGCCTTTTGGTTCGCTGAAGCAATGAGACGGCTGCCGCCACTGCACAGCATCAGCGAGTATGGCATTGTTGGCCTTGAGATTCTCTGCCTTGCAACCACATATTTGCAGTGGAATGATAGGAAAAACGATGCGTATTTTTTCGTAAGGGCAAGCTTAGTCACCTTCCGCAACGAACACTGACGACCGATCAGGTGGGCACAACCGTGCGGCTTGCTCTGACTTTAGGCTGCAATCTGCCATTCGCAGAGCAAAAGTGCCTCCCATCAGAAAGAGCACATCGAATGAGAGTGTGGTGGACAGTATATATGTTGGATCAGTAAGTGTGTCGTGAACCGAAGTGGAAGAGTACGAGCTGACTTCATGCCCCATCAGACGTATATCCGCAGGACTTGGACGTCCTGCTTCTGTCGACGACCGCCATCTTTCGTTCGATCTTCCCGGACCATCACCAGGTTTCGACTCTCCAGAGCCACTCAATGTAAATGTGCAAATTGCTCGTACAACGGGCGAGATAATGTCATGTATGTGATTCCAGCGTCTATGGACAGTTCTGTCATCACTTAACATGATTGGATTTGCTGACTGTGACGGACCACAGCGCTATACAGCAGAGGCGCCTTATCGCAAGCCGATTTGGTCAGGAAAATGCGGAACCTGCTCCAATCACTCCATGACACTGGTCGATCTATCCCAGCAAACCTTGCCATAGATTTTAGTAATAAGCAGTTTGAGGTCACCAGAGCTGGTGCATCACTATATCTACGGTTGTTCCAAGTAAGTGTTAATCCCTCCAAGCGTTTTGCGCCTTTTAACTAAGTAGCATGCTGACTTGTGTTTACCCGAAGGCCATCATCCTTTGTATCAGACCTATTCTACTCCAAAAGGTGAAAGACAAGGTTCAAAAGACACAAAAACAGGGACCGGCGTCATCCGCTATCTCTCAGCTTTGTCTGCTCTGCAACGAATCGGCTTTGAGGATTATTCGGATTCTTATGGCTATGCAGAGACAAGAGGAAATTGGTTAGTAGTACTGTTGGCGTTTTTCAAATAAATATCGATACTGACATGAATGCAGCACCATTTGCTTTCTTCGATCTAGACGCCGCTTTTGCTGCCGCCTTTGTCTTGATCATGCGCGGTTTCGCCCACAAGAACGATAGTCAAAAACCACCGCCACAGGAATTGTTTCAAGCCATTGAGTTTATGGAGTACTTGTCTCAAGCAGGCAACAATGCAGCGGCGCAGCGCCTCAAGGACGTACGGCAGTTCTCAGCCCATGTGTGGGCCGATGTAGTAGCCTTTGATAAGGACCATGACGTACAAATGGGAGAATCCGGGGAAGCACATGGGGTGCCCCACATGGGGAACACTCCTGGATCTGTATTACTGGAGCAGTCGGGGCAGTCTTCAACGTCCCAGATGCCTCTGACCACACCGACGCCGAGTTCTTCAGTGCCATCATGGGAGGGTGAGATGTTTGGAGGACCTGGTGCGGATACCTATGGTTCGGATACGCTGTTTGGTTTGAATCTGGATGAAAACCTTGAGCAGGCCTTCGGGTTGGAAGCTGCTGAGGGCATCTACAACAGTTTCAATGATCCTACACTACCTCTTACAGGAGTTGACCAGCTTGATTGGGCTGAGTTAGAGAAGATGATGGCACCAGGCGGTTACGGGTCATAGTAATATCACTTAATACAGAATGTAAAGGCTATCAAACATTCAAAAGCATCGGATCTCTGAAGTTCAGTATCAGAATGACGTATGAAGAGCAACTCGGCAGGGAATCTCCCAAGTGGGTCTTCCGTTCGGCCGTGAGTGGGAGTATCAGGGTGAGTGGGGCCAATCGGGTCTCATCCGCCTCCGGTTCGGCTGCCGAGCCGAGTAGCTTCATCAGATACCCTGAAGAAGTAGAACACCATCGGAAGAAAGCCGAGCATGGCATGATGCGCCATTAACCGTGAGAACAGTACTTAATGCCTAGCATAGTCACTTCAATCCTTCATGAGTGATATCATAAATTACTTTGCAGTCGCCAGTGAAGACCATTTCCATTTGCCCTCAAACCTTCGAAAACACAAGAATGTCTCAATCAACATCAACACTAGAAAGCGTTTCCATTCTTGGTGCCGGGAATGAAGCCTCCCGCCGCATCCTCACCAAGGATGCCGTAAAGTTCCTTGCCGTTTTGCACTGCAGTTTCGAGACAACTCGCAAAAATCTTCTAAAGCTCCGCGAACAGCGTCAGATCGAAACAGACAAGGGACGACTACCGGATTTCCTTCCAGAAACCAAGCACATCCGTGATGACAAGAACTGGAAGGGCGCGGCACCTGCGCCTGGCTTGGTCGATCGCAGAGTCGAAATCACCGGGCCTACAGACAGGAAAATGGTTGTCAACGCGCTCAACTCTGATGTTTGGGCTTACATGGCCGATTTTGAAGGTTAGTTGTCAGATCAGAAATGGGCGCCTAGGCTTATACATACCAGATTCCAATGGACCCACGTGGGACAACATGATCTACGGCCAAGCCAACTTATACGACGCCATCCGTCGCCAAGTCGACTTCCGTCTCGGCGAGAAGGAATACAAACTCAGAACTGACCGTACTCTTCCAACGTTGATTGCCAGAACGCGCGGCTGGCACTTGGATGAGAAGCATTTCACTGTCGACGGGGAGCCCATGTCTGGTGCCCTTTTCGATTTCGGACTGTACTTTTTCCACAATGCCAAAGAGCTCATTTCTCGTGGAGCTGGACCTTACTTCTATTTGCCTAAGATGGAATCTCATCTCGAGGCCAGGCTATGGAACGACGTTTTCAACATGGCACAGGACTATATGGGAATCCCAAGGGGTACGATCCGCGCCACTGTTCTGATTGAGACCATCAGTGCTGTATTTGAGATGGACGAGGTTTGCGAAACCCGCGGTTGTTCTCAAGAGACGTACTGACCTTTGGCAGATCATCTACGAACTCAGAGACCACAGCTCTGGCCTCAACTGCGGTAGATGGGACTACATTTTCACCTTCCTCAAACGTTTCCGCAATCGCCCCGGCTTCATTCTGCCCGATCGTTCCGACGTCACTATGACTGTCCCATTTATGGATGCTTACGTTAAACTACTTATCAGCACATGTCACAAGCGCGGTGTGCACGCCATGGGTGGCATGGCGGCCCTTATCCCAAGAAAGGACGACCCGCGGCCAATGCCAAGGCGATGGACAGTGTCCGCGCCGACAAACTTCGCGAAGTTAAAGCTGGACACGACGGCACATGGGTTGCCCATCCTGCGCTGGCTTCTATCGCAAGTGAGGTCTTCAACGAGCACATGCCAACTGCGAATCAGATATTTGTTCGTTCGGAAGTAGACGTTAAACGCGATGACCTTCTAAACCCTGTGGTTCCTGGCAAGATCACCGACGATGGCGTGAGGAAGAACCTCCACATCACTCTTGCCTACATGGAGGGTTGGCTGCGTGGTGTCGGCTGCAGTGCTATCAACTACCTAATGGTGCGTCGAAAAACTCGCATTTTTACTCTCCGCGACCAGAGCTAACGTAATCCCAGGAGGATGCTGCTACCGCCGAGGTGTCACGCACACAGCTCTGGCAATGGGTCCGTCACGGCGTCAGCACCGCCGAGGGCACGAAACTCGACAAGGCGACGATGCTCAACATACTTGACGACGTCACAAAAGAACTAATCAAGGCCGCTCCCGCGAATAACAAGTTTGAGCTGGCGGCCAAGTATCTACGGCCGCAAGTGACAGGAGAAGATTATGCTAACTTCGTCACTACGTAAGTATCTTGTCCGACTCCATTCACAGGTATGCAATACTGACTGGTTGTGACATACAGTCTCCTTTATGATGAAATCACTTCTATTGGCCCGTCTTGGAAACTTTAGAAAGGATGCATCTGTAGAATCTTACGATTGATGAATTAGATAAACATTTGAACTACATTATGTCGGGTGGTGAATTGTCAGGAAGAATATCTCTTTGAGCCCCACGAAAGAAAACCCCTCGAGCCGTTGTCTGCCCCGCACGTACACGGTCAGGATACTAAGCATTCACCATAGCCCAAGCTTTCTAGATGTGACTGTGCCTTCCGAAACAATGTGTGTATGTGCAAAAAGCAAAGCTACGACTTGGGCCTGATTCGAACAGACGCTCCCGAAGGAACAAGATTTCTAGTCTTGCGCATTAGACCACTCTGCCACCAAGCCGAGGGGTGGATTCCACTTCAAAGCGGGGATGTCGGTTTTCTAGCTTAACGGCATCTACAGACTCAGTGGTCAGGGAGCAAAACGCGCACCGACTAGGAACAAGGATTAGACAGCTATGTTAGGAGTGAACTGATTAACCAAACACCCCATTTCAATCAGAAATGACTGTAACACGCAGTAATTGAAGCTATGATTCTGCTGCGCACACCGAGGCTATCGCTACAAGCGGCTCAGACAAAGAAACCAAAAAGAGCTGGGTAAATAAGACACCACATCAGTTTCCATGTATGCACTGATGATTTATTGTGGCTTCGGACAACTTACGCGTATTCAGCGAACTTAAGATTTTGCTATAGTACCTGCTTCTAGTGAGATAATTGACATGTTCCGTGACCTGGTTATTGAGATAAACCATAGTAAAAGCTACTTCATCGTCATCTAAACAAATGAAACAATAATGCCGTATTTGATAACTTCTTCAGACTTGCTCAGTGATCTCACTTCCTGCGACAATGTCAAAGAACGCATCTGCAAGATATCCACCACGAGAAGTCGGTTTACCGTACTTATCTGTGGCCATGCCTGCAATCGCAGGAGTGGCTACATCCCGCATATAACCGGCAATACCTTCCTTCTTGAATTTCTCCGCAAACTGTTTGGCGTGCAGACTCAAACCTTGCGTGGCCCAGATTGGCTGCACTTGCCATACGATGCCCATCTTGGCGATATCCGTGGGGAAGGTTTCGACTTCTTCTGGCGAGTAACCGCCCTTGCCGAAGTCATACGCACCGGTGTATCCGAAGGCGAAGAGGCGATTGGGGTACACTTTTCTCAAGGCCGTGTGGAACTCTTGCATGTCTTCCTTGTCTGTGGGAAAGTCGATCAGTATGTACAGATCTCACGGGCGAATACAATATAGACGAGTAGCTTGGGTCATACTTGGTTTGTCTTTTTCGGTCAGTCTCAAAATTCAATATGAGGAGGCGAATGCACATACCTTGGCGACTCCATGTAACATCTCCTAGAGGGGCCGCAAGAACACATCTATCGATGACAGCCTTTGTGCTCCATTGCCACATGTACTGGCCAAGGGGTGTTCTCGGAAGCTCCCAGTCGAAAACAACATCTTTTCCAGTTACAAGCTTGGCAGCCGCTCGTCGGTCCTGCAAAGCTACAGTTCCATGACCAATCTTTTGAATGTAAGCCTCATATTGCTCCTCAGTTGCGGCGAGTTTAACAGCTTCATCAAAAGTCATTAACCCTGCGGAGGCTTTCCACTCTGTCTTTACGGTCAAATAATCTCTACCGGTCCTTTTTCCTTCTTCTAATGACTGTATGAAGGAGAGTGTAGAGTTGGTAGCTCCAAGTACGTAGGGGTGGTCGCGAGGGTCGATCACACTAAATGTAAGGTTAGCCTTTGATGGTTGCCGAGTCCATCTAACCGTTGGGGCTTGCCTTGTAATGAACTCCGCATGATCGCTGTCGCATCTACAAAGCAACATGGTGTCTGCTCTGTGATGTAGCAGTTAGCTTTGGGCCTTTCTCTAATGAATTCGCGCTTACTGACCCCATAATGTCAAAAGTCATTCTCACAGTTGTGAGTCGCGATAAGTACTCTGATGTAGGTACGATCGTCCTTCCTTCGCCATTAGTAAACTTCTTTAGACCCATGGCCAGATCATCAATGTGTATCATAGCAACACCGGCCTCAACGAAACTTCGGGTGAGCTTCATGCACCCAGTCAAAGTTCCAAAGCCCATGTCAGCATCAGCTACAATGGGGAGCATGTAGTCAATGCACTCCAGAGACTCGCGATCGACTTCACAGTATCGCATCCGTAACTGGGTTTGGCGCTGGTCGTGGAAGAGCTGGGTATTGAAGATTCGCTTTACGACGGACGGCACAAGGTCCGCTGGGTAGTCTGCATGATCCTCTCCAGGCCACATTGCCTGGGAAAGTCCGCACAACGCCCCAGATACGTATACGGTTTGCACTAACATTAGAAGTCAGAATTGAAGTCAGAAATAATCTCATTTGGCATAATACTTGTTTTAGCCATCTCCTTCGCGATCAATGGCTCAGTTGTGCCGAATGTCAACTCATACGTGCCATTGGCATTGTGCTCGTTGAGGATGCGCCATAACTTCCTGCCTTGAATACTTGACGGATATTCGATCTTGAATCCGATATTTCGTAGGGCAGCAACGGAATTTGCAGTGTAAGGCCTGTTAATGTTACCATATTGGAGATTCATGAACGGCAACGGTACTTGCCTCTTGATATGCTTTTGTCGGTCCGTTTGCCACCATGCTTCTATCTCACGCACCTCAGCTGCGAAGGCTTCGCTCTCAGCCTTGACGCCGTTCCACTTTTGAGACATTTGTGACAAATCTTTGATTAGGCAACGATGAACTTCTACTACGGTGTTAATGAGCTGGCGTATGAGCTGGTTCTAGCGATCAGTACTCTATCTGGGGAGTAGGCTCCTTTAGTTCTTCCATAATCACACTGCAAAGCTTATCAGCAACATTTCGCTCCCACAAGCTCAAGCTCGGAACATCATGGATCAAGATTTCCAGTCGCTGATACTTTCTATCACATTTGATCCGTAGATATGCCTGCAGCACGCTGTTGGGTGGATAAGGGATAACGATGAGATCATGAGGCCATCCATCGGTTGTGTCGGGATCCTTTCGGAGACTGTCGCCTAGCGCCCGATGTGGAGAAGGTCCTATCGCCAAGTATCGGAGACCACCCGATAAGAATCACTGGCAGATGAAAAGAGGTCGTAGAGTTTTGTGTTTTCCTCTGTGAACCTGGAGAACAGCTTACACAGTTTTGTTATTTGATCATTCTCAGTGTCATATCCTGACGAATCCATATTCATATCATTGTATTACTCTTCGGACTACTGTTACAATGGGAAGCAACATTGTCGTAACCCCTTCCGAACGGCCTCCACTCATCAACTTGCAGTTGGGTTGGCCATCTCCTCGACTTTTTGCAGCTAGCGGTCTCTTGGAGGGTGCCACTCAGGTTCTTAGTTCAGAGTTTGAGACTGCAGCTGCCCTTATTTATGGACCTCACGTTGGACATCCTCCACTTCGTAGAAGTGTTGCAGATTGGCTCTCTTCTGTCTATGGTATCGGAATAGACCATGAGGGTATATCCATCAATAACGGCGCGTCGGGTAATTTGGCCAATATTTTGCTCAAATTCACAGACCCTCTTTACACCCGGAAAATCTTCATGGTTGAGCCAACGTACTTCCTCGCCTGTCCGATCTTCGAGGACAATGGCTTCCAAGGCAGGCTCAGGGGCGTACCAGAAGATAACACAGAGGGCATCGACATGGATTTTCTGCGCCACGAGCTAGCAAAAGCCGAGGCTGAAGCAATCGAAGACTCCAAGAAAGCTGATCGGGTTGATCAGCCAACTTTAAAGGTGGGCAAAACGTACCCAAAGCTTTATAAGTATGTCATCTACCTTGTTCCGACATTTTCGAATCCCAGTGGAAAGACGCTTTCTATAAAAACACGTAAAGAACTTGTCGCGCTCGCTAGAGAGTACGATGCCCTCGTCGTGTCCGACGACGTCTACGACTTTCTGTGCTGGGCAGATATCTCGTCTATCCAAGAGCAACCTATTGCCATCGTCCCGCCACGACTCGTAGATGTAGATCGAAACATGCTAGGCTACAGCACTTGGGGAAACACGGTCAGCAACGGGTCGTTTTCCAAGGTGATTGGCCCTGGTGTGCGAGTAGGATGGGCGGATAGCGCTCCGGCTTTTGCCAAAGAACTAGCGGAGGTGTAAGTTCTCTTCCTGAGAAAACAAAACAATAAAACTGCAAAACTGTTTCAACTAACTTGCGATTTGAGGGGCTCCTCAAGCTCGGGTGGTGCGCCATCACATCTTACGTCAACTTTTGTTGACAAAATGCTCCGCAGCGGCAATCTCCAAGCACATATCAAAGACACCTTGATCCCCACGTATCGAGAGCGATACTATGCTCTCATGTCTTCTATCAACGACATCTTAGTTCCGCTAGGGGTCGTTAGTGAGACAAGACATCCTAAGGATGTTACGGTAGCGACAGCTGGGGGATTTTTCACATACCTCCGGCTTCCCCACGACCTGCCCGCTGCTCGAGTTGTAGCCGCCATAGCTCTTGAAGAAAAACAACTTCGTATCGCCTTTGGACACATGTTCGTTGTAACCGGGGACGAAGGTAGTGTGCTCAGAGCGGAGTCTGAGAATGGTTTCGCTCAATGCGTCCGACTTTGCTGGGCATGGCATGAGTTGGCTGACATTAAAGAGGGTATTATAAGACTAGCAGAAACCATCAATGACATCAGAGCCAGAATAGAGAGTGGCGAAAGGTTTGATAAGCAGGTTGCAATTGGTATAAGGTAGCCGGCTAGCACGTTGGTCAAATGAAGAGAGAAAAAGGACTTTAGCAATATCAGTATCATGCGCAAATACAGGGGAAAGAATCTTGAATTGTTACAACAACAGAATAATGGGGACGATTGGCAAGTCACTCAGACAACCTACGGTGCTTTGTTACCAGAAACCGCCTATAGATAGCCGAATGTCAGGCCGAGTTAGGCTGCCCACATGGACACCTGGAGCCATACCACACTCGGCCACTAATATCACTGTAGAGATAAGGGCTACATCACTATTGACTCATACGCCCAGGTGATTACTTTCTTCATCATCACTAGGGCTTATTCCTATCTTCTTCTGCCATCGCCTATCGTAGTGCCTATCACAGCGCCTATTCCAACGTTCAGTTCTGTCTATTCATCAAAGCAAATTCATCGAGGTAACTGTAAATTTGAATTGCGCTATTTTGCAAAGTACTAGAACCCAATCTGACACACTTTACTAGCATAAATACTTGAGTAAACCTGAAAGCTTGTCAAGCTTAGGAGAAATAGAGGTAATGACTGGCATGCTCGCTAGAATCGACATTGTGAACAACATCCACGTACCGGCATTCTCACCCTTGTTACTCAAATGATACTGGAAGAGTTTCGAACTGGTTCGATGACTCCAGAAAGCTTGTTATCCATCTCTTTCTCCTTTTCCTCCCCTTCGCCTGGCATAGCAGCTTCAGAGACAGGCTGAGCTGCAGCCACCTGAGCTTCCTGTCCTAGTTGGCGTTTATGCAGGAAGTCTGCAATGACTAGATGACCGGAGTTAACTTATAATCAGGGTCTGTGGCAGGGAAAGGGAGTGACTTACAAACTAGTACGACCGCTGCAAGGGCAAATGACAAGATAGAAGGAAATCCTCGCTCAAATGTGGGTGCCATGGTCTGAGGAAAGATGAGAATAGGGAGGAAAGAGTCTGAATTTGGGTCAATCGTGGCCTCTAGCGGTGCAAGATGGTAGGTACTTACTCGTTGCATAGAACAGTCCGTTCATGCTAGAAATGGTCAAGGCACGTTCTTCCGCGTTGCCGTTATTGACCTCGTTTGCCCAAGTCTGTGTGGGCTTTCGTTAGTCCGCGATCAGCAATGCGGAACGTCCGTAATCCACTTACCCAGGTGACGGCTGTGACATAACCGCAGGAGACTAGGAAGAATCCAGCTACACGAGCAGCGTCTGTCGGTGGATAAGCTGTCAAGATAGAAGAGCCGACGACAGTGGTGCACATCTTGGGCGCTAATATCAGTGAATGTATCGAACCATTGGGGATGCTATCACACACCAGAGGGCCGATGATCCAAAGAGGTCTGTTGCCAGTCATATCGGACATGAAGCCCCATGCAAAGTCGGTGACCATGGTAACGAGATTGGCGCAGGCGGGGATGACGTTGCGCTGAGTAACGCTGTACCCATTTTCGCCTGCAGTGATGTTAGCTTATAAAGCTGTAGGTCTTTAATTTGTTATACCTACGAAGGTAGATGGCGAAGTAGTTATTGGCCTGGCACGAATTCCCGTACTATTTGTGTCATGTTAGCAGCCTCGAATGGGCCAGCGAAGCGGAACAGGATGCTGCGTGACTTACAAAGATGTACATCAGACACAATATCCACCAACGCCAGTTACCAAACATCCGTTTGACCAGCTTCAAGTCCACTATTCCTGTAATCTCAGCTTTCCCCTGTTTCGCAGCGCGTTGCATGGCAATCTGCTTATCCTCCTCGGTGAGATACCAAGCAGTTGTATTATGAGGGTAATCGGGGAGAAGCCACCACACGGAGAGGGCGACGGGTAGGGACATGCATCCGCAAACTGCTCCGGTCAGCCAAAACATACTCACAGTGATAGAAATCTTCCACTTACTGATGTACATCCATCTCCAACCCGCCATCCCAAGATGTCCGTTCAACGACTTGTGAATACCAGCTTGAAGGAACCCAGAAGTAGCCTGGCCGAAAAAGCCCGTAATATGCCAAATAGCCACACGCTTGGCAAGCTCTGGTTTCGTATACCACGAGCCCAGAAGAAAAATGATAATAGGAGAGAAGCCAGATTCGAAGAGGCCAATCATGAAGCGAAAGGCGTACATCTGATTGCTGCTCTGGGCGGCAGCTTGTGCGAACCTATAAATAAAGTTATTCTGTCAGCTGCCAGATCATATTTTCGAGCCATTGCGTCATTTCAAAGAAGAATAGCCGAAAAAGTGAGAAGTGCATACGTAAAGGCGGTCCATCCTAGCTCGCAAACTACGATACAGTAACGTGGACGGATCTTGAGGGCAATCAAGTTGGATGGGATCTGCATAATGGCGAAGGCAATTGTGTAGCACACTGATTGTCCGTCAGTCCTGGTTTGAAACCTGACCAATTCCGAAAACCAACTAACTTAGCATGTAGGTGTATTCGTTGCCTTGTATATTCAGGTCTTCCTTCATTCCGCTAACGTCTAGATCCCACGTATTAGAACCAGGTACTCCTTGAAAGCGAACACGGTAACTTACAAGCATTAGTTATGTTGCTCTGGTCAATGTATTTCATCCACTGTTTGAGTTAGATACCTTAATAAGACACAAAATCTAACTTAGGCACTTACCCATCCAAGTGTTGCGCAGATGAGAATGCCGAAATCAAGCTTTCGAACCAAGGCACGCTCCTGTTCTCCGTCAATTACCACGCTTAGTGTCAAGTTTTGGTGTTGGTAGTACCTGCGGACTCTTCAAGTGCTGATCAGCATCCCAAAGATGATACATGATCCTCTTTCCCCAAGAAGCGTGTTGAGGTGCATCTTCGTGGAAACCGATGCCAACGTCCGAGGCAGTGGGAGAAGTTGCCGAGTTGACCTCATGGGTCTTTTTCTCGTCGCCCATAATAACAGACAGTAGCAGGTCTGTCGCAAAGATCTGTATAGCGCGTCTCGGTTGACCACGACGAAACGGAAAGCGAAGGGTTTACAGCTTGTGGTGGAAACATAGGTAAAGAAACATGTCGTCCATTCTACAAGTCAATTGACGATTGAGTTATCTTAATACCACTCGATCCACCACCGCGGATCATGATAAACACCCAGTAGCCTCTCGGTAACGTATCAAACCAACTTCATATCGGTAGTTTGCACTATCAGCATACTAAGTGGCCAAGGACAGACTGGTGGGTCACCCTCGTCGGCATCCTACACCCCCTTGTTTCCGAAGATAAGCAACAGTCAGATTGCAGTTCTTTGTCGGACGGTCCCCGATCTTTCCCCGCATTTTTATCTATCTACGCTTCTCCGACGAGGGCTGGATAAGACTAACAGTCCAAGCCAGCTAAGGAAAGCTAAGTAGGGATCCGAATTCGGCTCGGCCAGATCGGGTTGTTATCATCCCAAAATTGCCTCTCCACTCTCTACATATTCAAGCTTCAGAATTGTATGCAAGCTGTTGACTCTTCGGTAACATTTCTTCAGATCTCACTTATTGTACTTTAAATATTCAATCTTCCAATACTATCTGTCTACATTGATGCTGTTGGACCTCTTACAATAGGACTCTTACAAGTTACCAACGCTTACTTACAAAAACTTCAGCATGTCATCAACTACAACTGATCAAGTAGCTCTCGCGCGGGAGGTTTGCCGCCCAAACCTCGTAAAGAATCTGATGCTCTCCAACAAGCTTGCACACTCCTTCGGCCTCCGGGTCGCCTTCTCTACCGAAATGCCGCTGGTCGCTAAGCGCGCTGGATACTCGGCCGTGCTGATGAACCTTGAACACATGGCCATGAGCATGGAGACGATGAAAGACATTGCCGTCTCGTGTTTAAATGTCGGGTAAGTCGCATCATAAATCTAACATTCCCACATTCGTATTGTATTTGGTTCATCGATTTTGGTGCTGAGTGCAGCGTTGGCTAACAGCGAAACATAGAATTACACCAACAGTAGTTGTACCAACATGCGCCCCAGAATGGATATCCCGCTGTCTGGACTCTGGCGCGCAAGCTATCATCGTGCCTCACGTCAACAATGTGGAACAGGCAAGATTGTGCGTCAACGCTTCCAAGTTTCCTCCTTTGGTTAGTCAATCTCGGCGATGTCTCTAAGCTTCTATGAACACGAACAGCAGTTTCTTCTTAGGTAACGCAGACTCACATTTGAATAACTAGGGGCATCGCTCAGTGACTATGGTCACAGCAATGACTCAGTACACGTCGCAACTGTCTTACGCGGCCATTGCAGAGGTCGTTAATGACGAGGTCCTTATTATGCCCATGATCGAAACAAAGGAAGGAGTTGAAAACGTAGAGTGAGTCGAGCCAAGGACAGACGATCATTCAAGTCCATATGTTAACAACCGGGTAGAGCAATCGCAGCTGTGCCTGGTATCGATGCTTTGTTCATCGGCTGCGCAGATCTTTGCATGGAGTAAGAATTCAGTGATAAGAATCGTGAATAGTATGGCTGCTAACAGCTCTGAAGGCTTGGTATCCCTGGCCAGTATGATTCGGAGCTCTTCCATTCGACTGTCGCGAAGATTGCTGTTGCTGCCGAAAAAGCGAGCATAAACGGACGCAAAGTGTTCGTAGGATTGGGAGGACTAGAACCTAGGCCAGACCTTCTGGAAGAGTTTTCGAAACGCCATGCTCCCATTCGGTAAGTTTAAAGAATTTGCTTGTTATCACACGTGGCCTGCTACTGACAAAGTCGTCAGGTTTGCAATGGCTGGACGTGACCTGGCCCTCTTACTTGCCGGCATGACAAAACAAGCGGCGGCAATGAACGAATTATCGGCTAAGCTCCAGTAGCAATCGCTGGGAGCAATACTGTCCGCTTCAAAATGTCCGACCCTAGGGTATTATTCACAAACAGAAAGTTTTCGTGTCCCTCCGAGTTACATTCATGCTAGCCAAGAGGCTTCAAAAGTGTTGCTCAGCGACACGCGCTTACTTTGGTCTAGAGACGTAGGAGAACAGTGAATCATCACTACAGCCTGCCATATCAAGATAGATTTCATAACTAAGGGCATTTAAAACGTGGTAGCAGTAATGTGATACCGTCAACGAGCTTTCATGATGATCAAAGCCTCGTATCGCTTCCTATAAACCCGAGAAGCATATCAGGCTTCTTGTCATTGTAAAGGAGTCCAAATCATGCATATTGTTAATCTTCAACCTAATAGTCAATAACTTTAACGACTGAAACAGTCCAGACGTCGGTTTTGTTGTGTATGCTTCCAGAGAGGCTAAGAGCAAACGGCTGCTGGAACAGAGGATATCCAGTCGCGACCGAAGAACTGGATGTATGGATGAGGTACAAGCATTTTTATGATTTTAGTTACTCCACTGCAATCAATATAAGTCTACAACGTGTCTCCGTCAAACCAGAATGGGCCGCATTGAATGTTGCCGTTAGGAAACCGAGGTTGAAATCACAGCTACATAACAATGGCGATAATAATGATAATACTAGTTAGTTAATCATGGTAAAATGCTGTTTATTTACTAACATTAATCCTTACTAGCTTTGTCAAAATCTCACAACCTTGTTGCTTTATCTACCAAGTTAAGATGTCGGCTCCTGAGAATATTGCTTGTGAAACTTTACAACCTCGCTTTGCATCTGACCAACGCGTTCAGACAGGCCCGCTCTGGGGGACACGCCTAAGCCGCGGAACTCATATAATGAAACCTCACGGTTAGAGTTAAGAACGTTCTCAAAGGTCTTCCCAAGCTTATTGAAGGCGCCGATTTGGGCGTCGAAGTGCTTAGCAATCCACACGCTAAGCTCGTCCGGGTACCCGGTGGGCTGGGTGATGATGCTTTCAACCTACGTCCTAACTAATAAAGGATGAAGGCTGCCTTTGAGAGACCAAGCCTTATCTTGTAGCTTTCCGTTAGGTTCGGGGCTGTCCTCCTTACCTGCACAGGAATTATTGTCAAGACTAAGAATTATCAGTTAGTAGATTATTTAAGAACTACCTTTGGTTTCTCTTGCTTACTTGAGTGTACCATCCTTGGTGTTTTGATAACAGGCTAGGTGCTCAAGCATCCCCAAAGCAGATAACCCTTAGGCAGCTTCTTCTTAACAAGGCAAAACACCGACGTCCAATAATTGCGTGGCATGAGCCACACTAAAGTCTTGGGGCCTTATGTTGAGAAACTTTTTCTTTTCACTGGGTCGAAGGCGCTTGCGGCGAGCTCCTGTGTTAACCTATGGAATTGAATTCGATTGCAGGGTTGTAAAAGTATAAGTACTTACCATATTCTCTATGACGCTACCGATCAAGCTCTCAAGCTTATTTGCATCGTCCAAGTCGCAAAGTACATCATATTCGGGCTGTAAAAGCGACTTTACTGCTGGCGTTGCGTCGACACCTAGAAACCATCCATCGCCACTTTGGCCCTTCATGGCCTCATATGCGGTTTCTGAGCACTCCCCGTTAAAGAAGGAATAGTAGGCAGTCTCAATCTCGAAATCTACCTTGGGTGTTCGGGCAGCTTATACCAGGAACAGGTATGCAAGATAGACTGTAAGTGCGGTAGGGGTTGGGCAAAACATGAGAGGCGAGTATGATCAAGGTACGAGGGTATAACATTCGCAAAAACGAGTTGTTTCACTGCAAACTCCTCCCTATGGCGAGGAATTGAGTAAGGGAGTAAGATGTAACACAAAAAGTAGAGACATAGGATGAATTTTTGAGACTACCAAGATAGGTGTTGAATATATGTTCCTCGACTAGCGTTGTATAAGCATTCCGTATGACTTAGTAACACTAAGATAAGCACTACAATAACTTTACTGTCAGATTGACCGTTAGATCTGGGTCAGCTGGCCGCTCGCCAGGTTCTCGGCCTGTGATTCAGATCGCCGGGGGCATCCCGGCCTAACACTGTATATCCCTTGCCAATCGGATTGCGGTGATTCACCCACGATTTAACTTTGAAATACCCATCACCGCCAGCAAAGCCATTGGATAGTTAGAAAAGCACAATTACATGAACATCACAAGAAATGAGACTTTTGATTCACCACTTGCAAACTGTACTGGCGGGTAAAACCCCAAAAGTTAGTGGGCTCCTCCTCGGGAATCTCGATTGACGGTGTTAATCATGTTCTGTATGAAGTGTCATGGTTGATATCTGCCCATGTTGCCTCCAAGCCGTCTACAGAGTACACTCACTAGGTAGGTACCTTGGAGCGAAGGGCACGGGTGCTAATGCCAGTTCAAATCCATTCAACGGCAATTTGCGTCCCGTGGTCCAGCAATTTGGTGTCCTTGTCCCTCTAGAGCAGTCTGAAGGACCCTCTGGGGCGTTGAAGGGCATCTTGGGGAGGAGCTTGGCACGCCAACGGGCCTGGCAGAGGCCTGTGGGCGGTTGGATCACAGCCCAGAGTCTGGAGACATTTGCACAAACCTGCACTATTCTGCGAACTAAAGGGGAAACCATTGTCTGGCGAAACCCAATACGCCGTTTATTACATCGGGTTGAGGTTGTTTAGATTCTTGAAGCATAAGTGAGAGATGTTAAAAACTAGTAAACTACACAGGTTGGAGTGTGTAGAGTTGTCTTAGCTTCCCGTTATGGCGGATCTAACGGAGGTGGGAATTTTGGTGGAGCCTGGTCCTCCTTTTTTTGACGCTAAAGCGCGTGATTTGAGCGGCGAAGCCGACCGTTAAAACCTAACCTGTGTTACGATATGGCAGACGGAAGAGACTACGCAGAAACTGAAGAGAATTACCTGAACTGCAACGCGATCAGTGTTAAGCGAAACAAACGAAAGAGCGAGCGCTATTGCACGCAATAGTAGGTAATACATGCACAGATGAGTGGTTTATGCTCGGATACTTAGTCCTCAGCTCAGGTTCACTTCAGTCCTATCCCATCGAGTGCGGCAAGACGTCAGAAAACCCCTATGCGGGGTAAAGCCATTTATATACTTGTTCGGGATTGCACAGAGATAGGTACTTGCCCAATCATATGGCTAAAACTTCTCATTTTTGGAGAAAAGATGGAGACTTGAGTGGATATGAGTTTTTGGCGTCTTGCCGCACTCGATGGGATAAGATAGAGCTTCGGCAGTCTGGCCAGCCTCCCAAAAGGGACGGGGGGGGGTCAATGTGACTTATCTAGTTATCAGTTGCACTATTTCCTCGGGCAACTCAGCCGTGGACGACAATCATCTCCTCTCACGTTGCGACTCCTGACTCACTACACGGCTGCGTAGCCAGCTTGCAGGTCTTCTAGTGAACCATCAATTGTCTTGTACGAAACAATACCCCACGCAAAAAATACTGAGTAGAATATAAGAAACACTCATGGCCATGGCGACGCCGGGGCCCGTCAACAGCCTGCTGTTCGACCCCACAACCGCCTCATCTGCATCCGAGAACAGCGAACCACCGGCCAAACGAGTCAAGACGCATGCGTGTTCGCGTTGTCGTCGGAGAAAGGTAAAGCAAGTCAAGCCATATTTTGGCCTCCCTGGAGCATTATCATGGAATCTTTGAAACTACTCGCTCACAGTTTTACTCTTGACCCTGAACTTTAACATCAAGAGCAACACGAAGCTAATGACCGTTCTACAGCAAAAATGTAACGATCAAAGACCGTGCAGCAACTGCGCTAGATCAGGAGAGGAATGCAACGACCCAGTCCTGCCTTCGTTCAGTCACCCTCGTCCCCTGGATCCCAGGTACCCACAAGTGTAAGATGCCCCGATCCCAAGGCAATTGAATGTCAGGTTGCACGCTATGGTGAAGATGATTGCAACGAGGATCTCTCATCGTTCTGCTTCCTGCTACAAGCACTGCTACTGCCACTGCTCCACGGCTGCAGGCTGACTGGTATGTTCAGAAACTCGGACCATCTTACTTCAACGCATATGCCTCTGGCCTGGCTAGGTGACATCGCGTCGTTGGAGGAACGCATATCACGTTTAGAAGAAACCAACGCTCGGCTTCAGGCTTTTGTTGATCAGAGTAACAACCGTTACACTCATGAGATGGAACCGTCTCATACAAGTGCAATATCTCATACGGTTCATTCTGAAGAGATTTCGCAACGAAGAGTATCATTCGCATCCAAGGCGGTACCAGAAACCTCACTCTCCAGAACTTCTCCCGCTATAGGTCTACTGGCTACCTTCGCTCGCTCAGAAGAGGATAACCCGTCACCTATAACTTTCGAAGATGATAACGCGGTTAGAAGGCATGTTGGCCTCAGTTACCACGACGTAGGGCGGTCCCTCGATGTAGTAACAGAGGAAGCTCTGTTCAACATCTACCACGACAAGGTCCACTGTCGATATCCCTTTCTCAGCCTCGATGGCTTCCGCAGCCCTGCCAGACGTCCCAAAGAAACATGGGCATCCTACTTTACCAACATGATCTTTTCAATAGGCCTGCTTGTCGGAAAGACATCTTCTCAGAATCAGGTCCGGCATCATTCGCACCAGGCCTTTTACCGCCTTGCCGTGACTCAATATCTCTCACACGTCTTCGCCCAACCCGACCGCCTCCTTCACATCCAAGCCTACCTTCTCCTCGCAATGCACGCAATCTACTCCCCCTCTACGGAGCGCATAATCTCCATCGCTTCGGCCACGATGCGCTATTGCATCATGGCCCAACTCCATCTCGCCGACGCAGAACCTTCCCCTCCACTGGACGTAGCCACCAGAATCCGCGTACAAATGCGCCGCCGCGTTTTCTGGTCCGCGTACACTCTGGACCGCGCCGTCAGCACCATGTTCGACCTGCCCTTTTCTGTCCCAGATTATCAAATTACGGTGAAGATGTACGCAAACGTCGATGAAATGGACCTCGAAGCTACCTGTGGCACCTCATTCCCCCTGGATCCATATCCAGACACCCCGCGGCTCACAAGTGTCTCCGCGGCCATTCATGTGGTCTACTGCAGACGAATTCAATCCGAAATTCTCAACACTACCCTTCATCGTGACTTTTCGGCGCAATTTGATGGCTTATCACATTGGCGTCTACGGGTGCTCCAGAAACTTCATAGATGGAGAGCGCTGTGCCATCAGTACGCCGACAAAAGGTCGAAAAACTTTACGAGTAGCGAGTGGTTGCACATGATTTACAACTACAGCCTCGCGATGCTGTATCAGCCCACGAAGACGACAGTGACGGGGCCAGCAGGTGACTGGACGGTAAAGTCATGCGTTCAGGCATGTCTGATATTCCGCAAGTTCCAGCGGGAGACACCCATTACCGAGCTATGGCTGGGCCTCATCGCACAGTTCAAGTGTGGTGTTGCACTGCTGTACTGCTTCTTTGCTACGCCACCACACCTGAGGACTGCCGCATATCAACTCCCAGACACTTCAGAGGCCGTCAGAGCATGTAGCATAATTCTTGCAGTTCTTGCTGAGCGGTGGCCTCAGAGCAAATGTCTCCGAGACGCTTTTGACATCCTGGCTCGCGAAATTCCGCTCTTTGAATCATCAATAGATGTTGAGGTATTGGGCTCGCGGAAGATGAGACAAGAGTCGGCCGATGCTCTCAAGGCGCTCATGGTCCAGCTCGAGATCATTGTAGTGCACCGCAACACGCTACGAATGATCAACGAGATGGCCCAAGACGAGTTTCCTCGCCCACCACCAGAAGGAGCAAGGCCGAAAACACAAGCAGTGGCCCGCGCAGATACCACGGCTCAGCCAGTCGAAGAAGACTCCCCGTCTTGGCGAACAAGCATTACTGGTGACATGTTCCAGCCCATTACGCCTCACTTCTTCCAGTCGAACATATCAGATCTTGGCGCAGAGGTGTTTGACTATGCTATGCTCGGCTTTCCTGGCGAGTTCGATCTCTTTGATGGATAAGAGTCTAAGAAATGGTTAGGGTACCACTAATCCCTGTATAATAGCCGTCATACATACATTATTTGGCTAGTGTCGTAGAGTCACCACTTAGGGTGGAAAAGACATAAGGAAAACGGCTTAGATTTCTATGTGTAGGATTGCCTTGTCTGAAACGAATAAATACGTATCCTGTGTGGTGGATCTGCATGAAGGGACTGGACTAATAGTTAATCTGGGCCCAGCGCAAATCTCACAAGGCTATGTGATGTGCGTGAAGGCATTGGGATATACTCCCCTAGGTAGATTAATAGATTTTAACTATTATATATCTAATAATAGCTATATATAAAAAAATTATTTTAAAAAAATAAATAAAAATATAAATATTTACTTTTAAAGTAATAAATATAAAAGAAATAATTATATAATATTATATTTAGTTATTAATAATAAAAAAACTACTTTTTTTTTTATTACTTTTAAATAATTTAATTAGATTAATAACTTTTAATTAACTAATTAATTATTAAATTAAGTATTTATTTTCTTTAATAATATTATTTTTTTTTAGTTTAATAAAAAAAGGTTTTTTTATTTTTTTTATTTATAATAATAATAATTATATATCTAAAATATTTTTATTTTTATTATATATATATATATTTATTTATATTATAGGCTTTTTATATAATATTAACGTTTAAAAATAAATGCCTTTAAAGCTTAATAAAAAGGCTATTATATATACTTATATTACTATAATACATATAGTTTAACTTAAGAAGTGTAATAAAGCGTATAAGGGTAATAAGAAAAGTAGTAGCTCTCTTAATTTTTTTAGTAACTAGCTTATAGTTTTTCTTTTTTTTATATATTTATCCTTTAGCTAGCTCCTTTATATCTTAAGTAGTATTAATATATAAAAATAGACTTTTCTTACTAGAGGCTATAATAGTAAAGAGGTTAATAATAAAGAGAATAGCTTATAGCCTTTTTTCTTAGATAACTTCTTTATAAGTACTATAAATAAAGATAAAGATAATTTAAAGTTACTTCTTTTTTTTAGTGCCTTAGCCTATACTAATATACGCCTATAAGCCTAGGCTATAACCTAGAACAACTATATATTATATTTACTTATATTTAACCTAAACTTTATATTAACTTAATTAAATAGTAATAAATATAATAAGGTTTATAAAGAAGAAAAAGGAGTTAAATAAGGAGAAGAAAAAGGAGAAGGAGATAAAGTATACTAAGACCTTAGAGCTTACCCTTTAAAGAGACTTTAAGTGCTTATAGTACGTTTAGAGTATACTATATAGTAACTTTTTAGGTTAATATATACTAGTAAGTAGTAGCTAGACCCTTAAGTACTAGTATTATATATTTAGTAAAACCTCTTATATTATAATTATTAAAGGTTTTAAGCTTTACTATTTAGCTTAAAAGTCTTTAGCTATAAAATATAATAATATAACTTTAAGTATATATTTTTATATATAATAATTATTTATTTAATACTAATTGTTTTTATAAGTTTTTAGCTAAATAATTAATATATTATAAAGCTATATTATATTTAAGTAAACCCTTTAACTTAAAGATATTTAGTATAATATATAAAAGTGTAGTAAGGTAATAGTAGTACTACCTAGTAAGAATATACTAGTTAGTCTAACCCTGTTTAGTAGTTCTACCTCTAGTATAACTATTACTGTTATAAATAAGGGTTAAGTAAATACTATTTAAGTTATAATTAATAGTCTTATTAGTTAGTTAATACCTATATTATCTCTACTTATATACTAGCTCTTTATAGACTAATATATAATACTTCTAAAAGGTTAGTAGTACTAAAAAAACTTCTTTTTTAGGCTTCTACTAGAAGTAAAGGCCTATAAGCTATAAATAATAATTTTAAATAGCTTATAAGTATTTTTCTTTTACTAATATTTCTTTTTTAGTATATATAATCTTTATTTATATATCTTATAAGTTAAAGAGTACTTTAAAGTACTTAAACTTTACTTTAATAAAGTTCTTAGTAAAACTATTTACTAGTATATTATTTATTAGTATATATATAATATTAAATAAACATTTACTATATTCTTATTAAAGCTATATATTTTAAATATTAATATACTATAAGTAAATTAAAATTTAGTTACTTTTATTTATAATAAAGTAAATAGTTTAATTATTATTATAATTAATTTTCTATATATTACTAAGCTTTAGTTATATATTTTAAAAAAGATATTTAAGAGTAATAATCTCTTTAGTAATATACTTAAGGCTAAGAAGCTTAGCCTTAGTTATTAACGTTATAATAGTATTTTACTAAATAGCCTTTTACTAAATTAGCCCTCTAAAAAGTAAAATAATATATTTTTAAAATAATCTTTATGTTTTATTATTATCTATAAATAAAGCGTTACTTATAATTAGTAATACCTATATACCCCTTAAAGTACTAAAGTATATTACTAAATACTAAGTATAATATAAGTATCTAATAACTTAATTTATTACCTATTAATAGATATATAAAAGGTTTATTAAGAAATATAAAAGCAAAATATATATAAATATAATATTAAATTAAATTATTATTATAGTATAAAGGATTAATCTAACCTTTTCTTAGAAACGTTTTATATTAACTAGGGTTACTTAAAGGTTATTCTTTTTAAGCGTAACTATTAGTAATAAGGTAATTAGTATCTTTAAATTAATAAGGTTAAATCTTTTAGTAATTTACTTAATGTATTAGTTATAAGCTAAATAAATCTTTTGCTTTAGCTAGTTATATAAAATCTATATACCTAAATACTATTTAGCTAAGCCTTAGTCTTTTACCTTATATATTATTTAGATTCCTTTTATAATCCTCTTTATATTTCTTATATAAGATTTATAATAAAGTATAAAGATATTATTAATATAAAAAAAAAGAAATATCTTTTTATCTAAGGTCTAAAAGAGATATAAGTCTTTATTTATAGCCTTTATCCTAAGATAATATAAGGTACCTAAAAGTTCTTTATACTAAAGAAGAAGTATATCTCTAAGACTATAAAGTACATATTATAATTCAATAATTTTATCTAGTATCTTAAAGCTATTTAGGAAAAAGTATATAATAAGTAGTTTATTTAGTCTTTTCTTAGCGTTTAAAAACGTATTAACTATATTAAATTAGTATATCTTAAAGTTAAATCTAGCTATAATAGCTATTATAATATAAAAGGTTTATACTATAAGTATTACTATATATATCTATTTAAAAAAATACTTTTCTTATATATTACTTTTTATATAGATTTATGCTTTATAATAGTTAAAAAGACTATCTTAGTTTATCTTATATAAAAAGATTTACTTTAAAAGAATTAGTTTTTAAGCGACTTTACTCTAGTTTATTACCTTCTAAGTACTTATCTACTTAAGCTTTTAAATCTTAGTTATTACTATTTATAAAAAAAGGTCTTAATATAACTAAAAAAAGTTTAAAAGCTTTTTTTAGTTCTTTAGTAAAAATAATAGCTCTTTTATTTATTTCTTATTATATAATATTAGTATTTTCTAAGTATATTTTACTTAAATAATTAATATATAAATATAACTATAAATTATTTAGTATCTAGTAGCCTTTTTATTTAGTACTTTTTATTTATCTAATATAAAAGTATTAAAGAATATATCTTAGCTTTATTTTAAATATAGGAATATAGAAAGGTAACTAGTGTTCTTTATCTTATTAAATAGGCCTATTAACGCTAGTTTTAGTAGCAGGCCTTATTAGTATTAGCTTTACTAGGTTAAGGCATTATAGTTTAGGCTGTCCTGATTACTATTACCTAATTTTTACTTTTAGTTAGTATAGCTTATAAATACTAATCCTAAACGTATTATTAGTTCTTTCTTTACTTTATTCCCTTTATTTAAAGGTAAATTAGTATAAACAATAATCTTATTTTTAATTACTTTAGTTAAGTAATTAACTTCTTTAGATTCTAATATATCTTTGTTTACTATAGCTTAGTCTTTAATAGTTATTATTATTCTAATCTCTTAATTTAAAATATCTTTTAGTTTAAGTAAAAGATTAAGAGTTAATAGCTACTCTTTTTACTAAATATAGTTTACTTTATAGTTACTTTATTTCTTTTTATTTAAAAATACTATTTTTAGTATAAAAATAGATAATAAGAGCTATTATAAAAGGTATTCTTTTTATAAGATTAGAGTAATATTATCCTCTTTTATAATACTTAGAATATAGAATTTAAGGTTATAAGTTATATTTAGGTATTATATATTATTTATAATTACTTATATTTTTTTAGCTAAAATTATTACTTTTATATTATTTTTTTTATATAATTAGCTTTTATTAAACATTATATTTTATATAATTATAATTTATTAAAATAAAAAAATTTATATTTAGTATAAGTTATAAGTATTCTAAATATAGCTTACTAAGTATCTAATATAGCCCCTTAGTTTTACCTTAAAACATTATCTTTTTATGTTTTTCTTTTAGTCCTTTTAAATAAAGTATACTTAGTAACTATATATATAAAGTTATCTGTTAGAATAACAGCACTAGCTAGTTATATAACACGCACAACTCAGGGACACACATCATAGCAGAGGGCACAGACTAGATATTCGGCCCTCAGTTATCCATTAAGGGGATCAAAAGTATATTCATACCAAACTAACTTAAGGACATACAAGATCATATATCTTATGTATAAAAGCTAAGTTTTGTAGTTAGGAAGATAATTACAGAAAATATATTTTTAGTTTACCTTAACTTTAACCTAAGTATAATTATATAAACAGGTTCTCTTAAAAAAAAAGAATCTATTTAATACTAATCAGTAGTTATTTAGTAATTTATGTAATTGCTTTATGTAATCACAGATTAGTAAAAGTGAAGAGATAAGACTTAGGCTTTATAACTAAGCTACTAGGTAGTCTTATACTTTATATAAGGCAAGAAA